TGCTTAGCCTAAAACAGATCTGTATTACAAAGAAATCTGGTAGGAACTGGAACAACCAAATGACAAAAATCTAAGGGTATTCTTTTCAGATTTTAGAGCTCATTTTACCTGTGATTATTTTTTTTGTACAACTAATCTCAGCTGAATAGTGCTGCAACAGGAACTCAACAAGGCTTCAAAAAGCAGAATATAAACTTTTACATTCGATAAGACTGCCTATTAATTTTTTATAACTTAGTCTTCCTGCATCAAAATATATATTTAACTGAAGGCTACATTCACACACAAAGGAAACTTCGAAGTCCTCAAATACAAGTTAATAAAACAGGCACTCAAGAACTTTACTGTTCCACTAGTTACTTTTGCAAAACTCATTAGTGTGGTAGAATAATATCCAAAGACATTAGGAAACTGGACTATGAAATCTATTTCATTCTGATAAATCTTGTAATTAAACAAATGGTACTCTGTAGTACTGATAATTCATTCTTATTTCTCTAAGTTATCCAGTACCATTCCTGCTAAATACACTTATACCAGAGTGAAGTGGTCCACTGGAGAAGGGAATGGCTAACCACTTCAGTGTTCTTTCCTTGAGAACCCCATGAACAGTATAAAAAGGCAAAAAGATAAGACACTGAAAGATGAACTCACCAGGTCGGTAGGTGCCCAATATGCTACTGGAGATCAGTGGAGAAATAACTCCAGAAAGAAAGAAGAGACGGAGCCAAAGCAAAAACAACAACCCCCAGTTGCGGTTGTTACTGGTGATGGAAACAAGGACTGAACTGTAAAGCGCAATATTGCATAGGAACCTGGAATGTTAGGTCCATGAATCAAGGCAAATTGGAAGTGGTCAAACAGGAGATGGCAAGAGTGAATGTTGACATTTTAGGAATCAGCAAACTAAAATGGAATGGAATGGGTGCATTTAACTCAGATGACCATCATATCTACTACTGTGGGCAAGAATCCCTTAGAAGAAATGGAGTAGCCATCATAGTCAACAAGAGAGTCCAAAATGCAGTACTTGGATGCAATCTCAAAAACAACAGAAGGATCTGTCTGTTTCCAAGGCAAGTCATTCAATATCACGGTAATTCAAGTCTATGTCCTGACCAGTAATGCTGAAGAAGCTGAAATCGAACAGCTCTATGAAGACCTACAAGTCCTTTAACACTCAAAAACGATGTCCTTTTCATTATAGGAGACTGGAATGCAAAAGTAGGAAGTCAAGAAACACCTGGAGTAACAGGCAAATTTGGCCTTGGGGTACAGAATGAAGCAGGGTAAAGGCTAATAGAGTTTTGCCAAGAGAACACACTGATCACAGCAAACACCCTCTTCCAACAACACAAGAGACGACTCTATACATGGACATCACCAGACGGCCAACACTGAAACCAGATTGATTATATTCTTTGCAGCCAAAGATGGAGAAGGTCTATACAGTCAGCAAAAACAAGACCAGGAGCAGACTGTGGCTCCAATCATGAACTCCTTATTGCTAAATTCAGACTTAAATTGAAGAAAGTGGGGAAAACCACTAGACCATTCAGGTATAACCTAAATCAAATCCCTTACGGTTATACAGTGGAAGTGGGAAACAGATTTAAGGGGATAGATCTGATAGACAGAGTGCCTAATGAACTAGGGAGGGAGGTTTGCGACATTGTACAGGAGACAGGGAGCAAGACCATCCCCAAGAAAAAGAAATGCAAAAAAGCAAAATGGCTGTCTGAGGAGGCCTTACAAATAGCTGTGAAAAGAAGAGAAACAAAAAGCAAAGGAGAAAAGGAAAGATATACCTATTTGAATGCAGAGTTCCAAAGACTAGCAAGGGGAGTCTTCCTCAATGATCAGTGCAAAGAAAGAGAGGAAAACAACAGAATGGGACAGACTAGAGATCTCTTCAAGAAAATTAGAGATACCAAGGGAACATTTCATGCAAAGATGGGCTCAATAAAGGACAGAAATGGTATTGTCCTAACAGAAGCAGAAGATATTAAGAAGAGGTGGCAAGAATACAAAGAAGAACTATACAAAAAAGATCTTCATGACCCAGATAATCATGATGGTCATGAAGTTAGACCATCTAGAAGTTAGACTCACCTAGAGCCAGACATCCTGGAATGCGAAGTCAAAGAAGCATCACTATGAACAAAGATAGTGGAGGTGATGGAATTCCAGTTGAGCTATTTCAAATCCTAAATTATGATGCTGTGAAAGTGCTGCCCTCAGCATGCCAGCAAATTTGGAAAACTCCACAGTGGCCACAGGACTGGAAAAGGTCAGTTGTCATTACAATTGCAAAGAAAGGCAATGCCAAAGAATGCTAAAACTACCAAACAATTGTACTCATCTCACACGCTAGTAAAGTAATGCTCAAAATTCTCCAAGCCAAGCTTCAGCAATATGTGAACCATGAACTTCCAGATGTTCAAGCTGGTTTTTGGAAAAGCAGGGGAACCAGAGATCAATTGCCAACATCTGCTGGATCATCGAAAAAGCAAGAGTTCCAGAAAAACATCTATTTCTGCTTTATTGACTATGCCAAAGTCTTTGTGTGGATCACAACAAACTGGAAAATTCTGAAAGAGACCACCTGACCTGCCTCTTGAGAAACCTGTATGCAGGTCAGGAAGCAACAGTTAGAACTGGACATGGAACAACAGACTGGTTCCAAATAGGAAAAGGAGTACGTCCAGGCTGTATACTGTCACCCTGCTTATTTAACTTATATGCAGAGTACATCATGAGAAACACTGGGCTGGAGGAAGCACAAGCTGCAATCAAGATTGTCGGGAGAAATATCAGTAACCTCAGATATGCAGATGACACCACCCTTATGGCAGAAAGTGAAGAAGAACTAAAGTCTCTTGATGAAAGTGAAAGAAGAGAGTGAAAAAGTTGGCTTAAAGCTCAACAGTCAGAAAACTAAGCTAAGATCATGGCATCTGATCCCATGACTTCACAGCAAATAGATGGGGAAACAGTGGCAGACTTTATTCTGGGGGGCTCCAAAATCACTGCAGATGGTGATTGCAGCCATGAAATTAAAAGACGCTTGCTCCTTGGAAGGAGAAGTTATGACCAACCTAGACAGCATATTGAAAAGCAGAGACATTACTTTGCCAACAAAGGTCCATCTAGTCAAGGCTATGGTTTATCCAGTGGTCATGTATGGATGTGAGAGTTGGACTATAAAGAAAGCTGAGCGCCAAAGAGTTGATACTTTTGAACTGTGGTGTTGGAGAAGACTCTTAAGAGTCCCTTGGACTGCAAGGAGATCTAACCAGTCCATCCTTAAGGTGGTCAGTCCTGGGTATTCATTGTAAGGACTGATGCTGAAGCTGAAACTCCAATACTTTGGCCACCTGATGCCAAGAGCTAACTCACTGGAAAAGACCCTGATGCTGGGGAAGATTGAGGGCAGGAGGAGGAGGGGACGAGAGAGGATGAGATGGTTGGATGGCATCACCAACTTTGTAGTGGAACAAAGGATAGGTGGAAGAAAGAAACTTCAGTTAACTTTTTACCAATTGTTTTTGAATACCATCTTTCCCAGAGAATTAACCAAATTCCTATTTGAATACTATGTGAAGGATAAAGAGCCCTTTTATGAACTAGGATTCACCATAAGAAATGTAAAGGTTAGCTTAAAGGGTCAAGTAACATACTTCCTTGGGTTCAGAGCTTTCTACTACCACACCATATATCTGAAGAAAATAAAGTCTTATATAACATTATTGTAAAAATTCCATAACCATAGTATTAAAGATTGGAGCTCCCTTTAAAGGTAATATATTTTGATTAAATATCTGAAGGTTTAGAGAGCCTACATTTTTCTACCATACAATGAGACTTTAGAATGAATGAACATTGAGAATAAATTTAGGTCCTAAATATAAAGAAATAACCTGTTATTGCAATAGCATACATTCACATTCAAATATGAAAAATACCACACAGAAAACAGAAACATTTTTAAAAAAAGGTTTAAGATCATAAATAGGTTATTGTCACAACACATTTCAGAATTGAAGAAACAAACATTTTGACTGTTTAGGAAAAACTTTTTTTTTTTTTATCAATTCCCTCATTATTGAAAGAACTTGTACATTTTAAAACTTCCAGTCTCCTAAGGCACAATATTTATTTAATCTGAATGCCAACATCATCATCCCCTGCTGTCTGTAGCTGGAATAAGAGGCAAGGAATTAGAGCTAAGGAAAACAACAAAAATTTTTGGACAAAATCATGAGTCATTTAAGAAAAAGAAGAAACAGGCTAAGTCATGATCATTTCTGTTAAGAAGGCCAAAACTTTTTAATGTACGACCTTCTGTTAAATTTTTTTAAAATCAAAGTATTTTAACTCAAATTTAATTCACCACAGAGGAGCTATGAAAGGAGCAGATTGGTAAAAATAAAGAATACTTTAAAAAGGACTTGGGAGAAGAAAAAATCTACTTAGAAAACATAGGGGCAAACGTTAAACTGAACCGAGTTTAGAGGGCTAATTTATTCCTAGTTGTCAGGCAGATCCAGAAGAAAGTTAAGACTAGGTAAACACAGTACCTAGGTATACACTGTAAGGCATCTGTTCCTTAATCAGATGGACCATTTTAGTCCACCACCAACCAACAGAGATATACTGAAATATTACAACCAGATGCTTAACTTGTATTTTTTTTTTCAACCAAAAAGTTTTTAAAATATAAAGGTAAAATTTCCTCATTTTTAACCCTGCCTTTTTGTCCTCTGTGATACTAACTGAACTTTAAGGTTTTTATATGTACAATGTGGTGATTTAGTGTTACTTTTAAAAGAAAAAAACCCCACAAAGTTAGTGATTGTCCACAGATGAAACATGGGATGAGGTTCATGACTGAATCAATCACGGAGTGTTAGTCAATTGTAAACTCTTGAAAGTTAAGACTGGGAATTGTGTGTATCAGACACATTAGAGTACAACAGGAGAGAAAGAAAGTTCATTTGTCATTCCAATTCTGACAAGGTGCATGGTCTTCGAAATTCCTGTCCACGTTCATGGAGCCATTTATTGGATACTGTGAAAGAACAAAATATATTAATGTATCCTGCTATCTAACTAGTATTGAATTAACTTCTGAGATATAGCTCTAGAATGAAGTTTCAACATGAATTTTTTAACCCAAGACCAAAACCAGACAAATATGCATGCTACTGAGGCTGTCTTTCAAGAACTTCACTAAATGATGGAGACACAGAAGATTTTATATGTATGTACATTTGAGAATCTGTAAATGTTTCTAATGTTCAATCTAAGGCTTGTGATGCACATATGTGTTAGTCGCCCAGTCATGTCTGACTCTCTGCGACACCATAAACTGTAGCCCACCAGTCTCCTCTGTCCATGGAATTCTCCAGGCAAGAATACTGGAGTGGATTGCCATTTCCTTCTCCAGGGTATCTTCCTAACCCAGGGATCAAACCCTGGGTCTCCTGCATTGCAGGCAGATTCTTTACCATCTGAGCTACTAGAGAAGCGATGTAGGTATAGACAGAACAAAATAATGTTTTACCTGCTCACAAAATACAACTTCTAATACAAAGACATTTAAAAGATGAACATAAAGTCTCCACGCTAAAGGAGCAACTCTGTGATTAATCTCTCCTATTATGTGCTCATTAAGCTTCCTGTGTTCTAAGGTATTGTTTAATACACCCCAAAAGGAATTAATTTCCTTCTTCTCCTATATTATAGAACATGGCATCAACATGTATAAGATATCTAAACTAACTCTTACTAATTCCTTACTAATTCTTAACTAGTCTGTTACCTTTCTTAACCTGTGTAGCCAATCTTTCATTCATTAAACGCTGTCATTTTTCCTTCTTTGATCTCTTCAATCTGTTCACTACTCTCCAAATCTTCTGCAGCTGCCTTAGTCCAGCCTTTATCATCACCCACTTAGAAAACAGGAAACAGCCTTCTAAACTCATCTCTCCTGTGCTAGCCTCTCTTTATTCTAGTCCAGTGGTTCACAAATAAAAACATCACTTCTTTTAAATCTTTGAAGTGTGGCCAAGTGACACATACTAAAATAGTTATGGGGTTAAATGAATCTTTATTAAAATAATCTTACCCATTTCTATTCCCTTTTTTTAACTTGGCCAGTTCTATACTTGCATGACCCTTGAGAGCTCTCCAGCCTCATACGAGTCCTGGCACTGGTCCCTAACATGCTTGGAAAACAACTGCTTATCTTCAAGACCAAACAGAAAAATCAAAACTTCAAAGAAGCCTCCCTAAATGTAAGTAGTTACTGTCTTCTGTTTACATCTTTGTATTATTATATACTACATTATACTCTACCAACTAATGTGTCTGAGACAACTGTGGATCCCATGAGAGGAAGATATTGTCTAACTCAACTTTGAGTCAATTAGTGTTTCTCAGAGTAACAAGTGGAAATAGTGTTTAAATTGTCATAAAAAATAATTCCAAAATGAGAGACCAAAATAATAAATTCTATTCAGAGAGTACGGGAAATATTTACCCCATTTGTTTCCAACCAGCACTGGACAGGCTGCATGCCGTGTACTATAATCTCCTTCTCCACTGGCAAACAGATTATACCAGAAAACAGCAGTTCCCTAAGGAGAGCAATACAAAATTATCCCCAAATAAAGTATCAGGTTATCACTTTTACAGTAATTAAATTTTCCTCTGTTTTATGGAAATAATTCTCCATGGCAGCACTATATCTTCCTCTAATAGAATTCTCAAAGTATGACATAACTTACAAAATTTTGGCAATGACCTGAAAACATTAACATCAGAGTTGCTTAACAAAGAAGTATGTCTGCCAAAGCTAACACATCTTATAAATAGCAAGCATCATATGGAACCCATTTTAAAAAATGAAAACTTCTCAATACTAATCCCTGGTTGTTCATACCTCTGAGTACCCATGGTAAATTGTAACCAAAAAAAAAAAAAAAAAGAGTGTGGGAGGGAGTGGCAAAAAAAAAAAAAAAAAAGTAAAGATTTTCCTATAGATAATGTATTCCTTAAGTATATTACCTTTTAAAATTTATTTTTATAGATAAATAACTATAGGTATCTCTCTTCCTGAGGGGGAAAAAATACAGAGAAACACCCCCAGTTAAAATGACAAATCAAACTTACCTTTTTGGGCCAAACACTAGCTCCTACTTCAGGAAAAACAGTGGCTCCTCCTGCTAACACATCACTCATCTAATAAGAGATGACAGAGTATTATCAAAAGTGCTGGTGGAATAAAATTAAACATGCCCCTTCCGGCCGGAACCTCCATCTTCCAGCTGAGGCCCATGCGTGTCTCCCGCTGCTTCCCATCTCTCCCCTGGCCCCTCAGGCTAATTCGCCAAAATGACCAACACAAAGGGCAAGAGGCGGGGCACCCACTACGTGTTCTCTGGGTCTTTTAGAAAACATGGAGTTGTTCCTTTGGCCACATACATGCGAATCTACAAGAAGGGTGATGTTATAGATATCAAGGGAATGGGTACTGTTCAAAAAGGAATGCCCCACAAATGTTACCATGGCAAAACTAGGAGAGTCTACAGTGTTACCCGGCATGCTGTTGGCATCACTGTAAACAAACAAGGACAAGATTCTTGCCAAAAGAATTAATGTGCTGAGATAGATTCCTGAAACGTGTGAAGGACAATGATCAAAAAAGAAGGAAACCAGAGAGAAAGGGACTTGAGTTCAGCTGAAGTGCCAGCCTGCTCCACCCAGAGAAGCACACTTCATGAGGACCAATGCAAAGGAACCCGAACTGTTGAAGCCCATTCCCTATGAATTCATGGACTGATGGGTGTAAAAATAAAGATCTAGACTGTATAAATGTTTCTCTTAATTGAGTAGAGGTGTTGTGTCCAAATTCAGTGGGTGATGTGTTTTCAAATTTAGTGTTTTTTCTTCCTGAAAGATATAACAGTTTGTTGTTCAGTATGCTCCACTGGTTAATAAACTGCCAGACATTAAAAAAAAAAAAATTAAACATGCTACTGTGAGATAGATAAGATACTGAAAACTAGAATGAGAATACCTGGACTTCTATTTACATAGATAGGTTGGTGCATGCTGATCAGTTTTTAAAAAACAAGATGTCATTTGGGTTTACATACATAGATAAAAGCAAAGGAAAGATAAAGTCAGCAAGGGAGATTGGAAAAGGATTTGGAAGATAGCTATTTCTTTTATAGCCAAGAGGTAAAAAGAAAGGATTTAAAACTGACAAATTGAGTAACATAAGGGTATAAATATGTATTATATAGCACTAGAATATCACCTCCATGGGGGTAGGAATTTTCACCTGTTTTATTGCTGAACTTCAGTGTCTAAAATGATACCTCAAAATAGTAGGTATTCAATAAATATTTAAATAGGTGAATTCAAACAAAATAGAAATAAACACTAAGAGAAAAGTAACAAACTAAACCAGTTTTGTCATTTCTCATGTAGGATATCAACACATAGTAACTAAAAATTAGAAAATTAACTTTATAAATCTTATAGTCTTAAAGGTAAATCAGAATAAAAACACAAATCTTCCAAATAAATTGAAGAAGCACATGCACAAAATGAGGCAAAGGAAACAGAGATCACAGAGTGAAGATATTTTCCAAAAATATAAGGAAGTATAATGTAGTGTATCATCAAGCAAAATCCATCTATATGCTATAGTCAGTGATATATAGGCAAATGCTGTACCAAGCCACCAGGGAAGCTGTACCAAACAAAACAGTCTGACCCTAATATCAAACAGTTTAAAGTTAAAGGCACTGAGTGATATAAAGACGTGTATTTTACTGTGATACACGTATAACCAGTATCAAAGACCTGATCGCTCTTAAGCCATGAAAAATTAACTTTAGAGAAATTTAAACTTTGTGCTATGGGCCTATCTGGGAAGAGCATTCAAATAGTGGGAAAAAATGAAAACTAATTAATAAAAATGCTATATATAACTAAAGTGAAAGTGAAGTCGCTCAGTCGTATCCGACTCTTTGCAACCCCATGGATTGTAGCCTACCAGGATCCTCAGTTCATGGGATTTTCCAGGCAAGAATACTGAAGTGGGTTGCCATTTCCTTCTCCAATATATAACTAAAGGGGGACATAATTAATATGTAGTCTAATAGTTACAAATAATCTAACATTTATGAATACTGGACCAAATAACACAGCATCATGTATGTTTGCTTTTATGAATCAAATACAGCCAAAAGCAAATGCTTAATGGCTCTTAAATATCTGAAAAGATGCTCAACCTCTCTAATAAGATAAATGCAAATTAAAACCACAATACTGGGCATACACACCAAGGAAACCAGACCTGAAAGAGACACGTGCACCCCAATGTTCATCGCAGCACTGTTTATAATAGCCAGGACATGGAAGCAACCTAGATGCCCATCAGCAGACGAATGGATGAGGAAGCTGTGGTACATATACACCATGGAATATTACTCAGCCATTAAAAAGAATTCATTTGAATCAGTTCTAATGAGATGGATGAAACTGGAGCCCATTATACAGAGCGAAGTAAGCCAGAAAGATAAAGACCATTACAGTATACTAACACATATATATGGAATTTAGAAAGATGGTAACAATAACCCTATATGCAAAACAGAAAAAGAGACACAGATGTACAGAACAGACTTTTGGACTCTGTGGGAGAAGGCGAGGGTGGGATGTTTCGAGAGAACAGCATCGAAACATGTATATTATCTAGGGTGAAACAGATCACCAGCCCAGGTTGGATGCATGAGACAAGTGCCCGGGCCTGGTGCACTGGGAAGACCCAGAGGGATCAGGTAAAGAGGGAAGTGGGAGGGGGGATCGGGATGGAGAATACATGTAAATCCATGGCTGATTCATGTCAATGTATGACAAAAACCACTACAACATTGTAAAGTAATTAGCCTCCAACTAATAAAAATAAATGAAAAAAAAAACCACCACAATAACTGCTAATCTGATAAAGATGTACAAATCAAAAGTTTGATAAGCATCACACTTAAAAGATGGTATATAAATTAGTACAAGTCTACAGATCTCACCTCTAGAAAATATACAAAGACTTCACAACATGAATTTTTGCATAATGTTATCAACTTCTCCCCTGGTTTTCCCTTTGTGATAATTCTCATTTTTAGTTTATCTTATACATCTTAAATCCTTTTTTTATAGTATCTTAGATCCTTCTGCAAACCAGATGGAGTTGTGAGAGGGAAAGAGAGAGAGGGATGAGGAGAGAAATCAGGAGAGTGACAAGGCAGGTTGGATACAGGGAGAGAGGTCTGTTAAAAAAAAAAAAAAGGAGGGAAAGAAGAATGGGAAAAAACTGGGCAGAAGACAAACAGAAGGAAGCAGGGAGCAAGGAAGAAAGAAACCAGACAGAGTAGGGAGACACAGATCTAGTAGGGAGTGAAGTAAAACAGGTAACAAAAAGATTCAATTTCATATAAATCAAAGGAGGATAGGGGATGGAAGTAACAATGAAATAAGCAAAACTAAATCAATATAAAGTAAATCTTTTAAAGTTAATGAAGGTTACAACACTGTAGGAGATTGTACTTGCTCAATCTAATATATCTCAATATGTCCTGACCCATGTGTTCTTTTTACATGACATGGACATCCTTCTTGAGTGATAGAGTCTATGTTCCTTCCCTCTTGAAGCATGGCAGACATCTATAATGGCCTCAATTAATAAAATAGCAGAAATGATAGTATTTGACTTTGGAGCATGGTTAATAAAAATGTCATGTACTGCCTTCTGTGGGAGGATGCTTGCTCTTAGAAGCCAGTCACCATGCTGTGAGGAAGCCCAGGCCACAAGTCAGTATTTTGGTCAGCTTCAATCTCAGCCTTCAAGGTGACCCCAAGTGCCAGCCATCATGAGAGATTCAGAGCAAGAACCATGAATAAAGGCCAATCTCACCACCTTGAAAGGTAAAAAATCAAATTATTCATTTAAACCATTCAGTTTTGGCGTGATTTGTTATGCAGCAATAGATAACCGGGGCAAATATTATATAATCAAAGCTTGGTTTTTTCTAAATATATCAATAGATAAACAATTTTTAAAAACATCATACTGTTTTGAAAGTGATGAACATGTGAGAATGGTTACCCTTGAGGAAAGGGCTTCCAGGGTGCTGTAATGTACTATTTCTTGGTCTGAGTGCCGAATACACTAGATATATTCACTTTGTGAAAATTTATCAAGTTAATACCTATGATTTGTACACTTTTCTGATATGATTTTAACTTTCTTCCTCAGGCTGTAGTAAGTACAATCTGAAAAAGTGATAAATGAAAAAAGAATCTTAACTCTCTTTACTCAGTTGTAAGAAACACTCAACTAAGATGTTAACAGCTAACCAAAGCAAACATCTAAACACATTAAAATAAGGCATGTGATCAAATCCCAACTTAAAATGAAAATTTTAGCTATAACTTACATAAAACAGCCACGTAGCAATTCTATTTCCTGTCCCCAGCTCTTTGAAAGCATCTGGCTCATCTTTCTGTGAATAAAATACAATTCAGTAGTAAAATTCAGTAATGCAAGTTCTCCACGAGCAACTAAACATCAGTAACATGCTGAACAGTATGCTAAAAATAGCCCCTAAAGGTTCCTTTGTAATATCCAGTGCACTATATACAAAAGTCTCTCAAATATTTGTTGACTGTTGATTCAACTAGTACACTGAATACTTTTGATAAGACCATTTTGGGGGAAAAACAGATGTGTTAGTCTATACAATGAAAACCAATGTCTACTATCCACAGATTGTTTTAAAAATTAACACCTATAGTTTTAGCTTCCAAACAAGCAAGACATGAGAGACTTTCAGCCACATTCATTAAATCAATTCTCTGTAGGTAAAAAAAAAATAACTTTGAGATTTACTTTGAACTCATGATCCATTCAAATGTTCACACTGCTACTATTCCTGTCTTCTGGACTGTCAGCACTTTAATCTGGCTGAAGAATTTACATCTGCCCATTTAAAGCTAATTAAAATACAGATAGTCTCTTGGCATTTTCTCAAAAAAAAGGTATTTTATTTTTCATACAGAAATTTATACACATTCCTTTGTCATATCCTCAATATGTCCCTTAATATCCTTCAAAAGATGAATGACTAAACAAACTGGTATTTCCATACCATGAGAGACTACTCAGCAATAAAAAGAAACACCCTATCAATATATTCTGCAAAAACATGGATGAATCTCAAGGGAATTATGCTGAGTGAAAAGAAACCATCTTAAAAGGATGCATGCTGTACATAACATTTATATGACATTTATGAAGTAAGAGTTATCGTAAAGAACAGGTTGATGATTACCAGCAGTTAGGGATAGCAGAAGGGTATGTGGAGCTAGAGGGGGATACAAGAGAGTGTTACAGTGATGGTGCAGTTATGCATCCTGACCTGAGCTGGGTAGTCACACAAAGCTACACATGCAATAAAACTACACACGTATACACACGAGAGCCAGTGTAACTGGTGAGACATGAATGGGCTCTGTTGCTTGTGCCAATGCCAGTTTTCTGGTTTTAATGATGCATGATAGTTATTCAAGATGTTAACACTGAAGAAGGCTGAGTGAAGGGTGCATGGGCTCTTCCTGTACATTTTTGGGGGGGGAGCTTCCTAGGAGTCTCTAATTATTTCAAAATACAAATCTAAGGGAAAAAGCTTAGTTACATTAATGTCAGAACTTAAACTGCAGTCTTTCACATCATCCAAGATCCTAAGACATTTTTCAGTAATTGAAAATAGAAGAAAAATAGACTAAAAATATATTCTTTGCTAGCCTATACACAGAAAGTATCTAGGATTTTAGGATTAAGTCAGTCAAGGAATATAACACAATGTATTAACAGACTGTGTTTTCTTTCCAAAGAATATACTCTTATTTAAAAATGGTAATAGATCAAGAAGTTTATTGAATACTTGGCACATTTCCTAGAATTCATGTAATTATAATAAAGCTTAAATTAAGATTTGGTAATGACATAATTCATAGCTCAACATGTTAAAATTAGTTTTATTTAAAAGGTTAAATACTTAAGCAAGAGTACTTGGGCAAGGATGGCTTTTTAACAAACTGCTTTAATATTATTTTTCCTCCAGTCTCTGCATCTATATTTTTTTTCTTTCAAAATGTATTCCTGTAATTCCTACAGATTTACTGGCCAATTCACTAATTCACTTTAGCTGTCTAACCTGTTTATCCACTAAATTTAAAACTTCAAAAAATTTTTCAACCTGAAGATTCTGCTTATTTCAGTTAAATCATTTTTAGAATTTATTCATTTTTGTCTTATCTTTTATTTTTAAAGTATCATATAGTTATTTTATATTCCGTATCTGATCACTGAGGTATCAACACCCTGCAGGCACCTATAGCTGTTGGCAGGCCTATGCTTTCAAACTGCCCAAAGAAACTCCCCATAATACATCTTACTCAAGCCAGGATGCAAAAGGAAACTCCTGAAGTGTCCTGACTCAAAGCAGATGATTTTCTAGGCCATCCTTTTTTTCTCCGAAGGTGTAAGCCTTTAGAAGTTTAGGTTTCATGCAGGGATCTCAGGTCAGTAGCCTACATTTATGCAGGTCCTCTCACAGAGCTGTTAATCTCCAAAGCTCTACATTCCTGGAGGGATATGCCTTCAGCCTCAGCCTTTTTGCTTCCTTTTAACTCTAATTTTAGTCTCTAGATTTTCTTTGTTCAGTTTGCCTTTGAGAACTTCCTATACGTTCCCCCAAGCTCAGCAATGCATTTAAAAGTATCCTAAATTCTTTTACCATGTCTCTAGTTGTTTCTTACTTCTAAAATGTATAGAATATCTATCCCACCATGCTTCCACAAATGAGCTACAAATCTATTCCAAAATGAGCTACAAATCTATTCCAAAATGAGCTATGAATTTATAATACTAAAAGAACAGAATTAACATGTCATGCCTAAGCTTCAGTGGAACTTCTACATTATCCTTTTTTTTTTTTTAACTTACCCATGCAAAATCAAAATAGGGTTCTACATTCTCCATTTTTTTTTTTTACTTACCCGTGCAAAATCAAAATGGGGTTCATACTGTCCTCCAACTCCATAATTTGCTACCTGCATGAGAAACAAGGCATGAATGAAAGAACTATCAAGATTACTATTCAAAAAACCTGAGTCCCATTTTGATGTCATATATCACAGTTAGGTACTTCTAAATAAATGAGAAGCAAAACATTTTTTTTTTTAATCAGTGAGAGTTTCTAAGAAATCAAGGATGAAAAACTAAGCTGTTATATGCTATTTTAGAATCTTAGTTAATATGATTTTCTTTAGCAAATGTTTGGAGCACATGATTTTCCTAATACATAACAAACTTTGATTTTTAGAATTAGTTTTCTAAAATTAGAATTTCACAATTTTTATTATTGTCACTAAACACTTTCCTTAAGAATTTAAATCAAGATTCATGTTTCCCAAAGCCCAAAATACTGGCAAATTTCCAATCTACTTTAATGAAATCCCCCTTGGATATGTATTTTTTTCCCTACTTAAGTAAAAAAAGGGAAGAAGTTAACACAAATTTAATTATTCCTGTTGGAAAGCCCTGACAACTTAATTTGGATGTGACAATGCCCCAGTGTGAAGCAGCAAAAGAAAGTAAGAAAAATATTTGGTCTGAGTTCATGGTCCAGATTTCTTAGTTATAATACAGCATCTGTAACTTTGGATACAATCACAGTTTTCTTGTTTGTAAAATAAAGATAATATTAACTACCTCTTTTCACCCCAATATGACAAAATGCTAACAAAATGAAAGGAAAATGTAAGCTAAAGAGCATTGCTCTTAAAATGAGCACATAATTAAAACTGTTACCCACAGCAAAGTCCAAGTCTCATGTAAATTATTATTACTGTGGATAATTTACTCCGTATGTTGTAGATGCCTTGGTTTGGATCAGACTATTCAGTCAGAAATATATCAAGTAGCCTGAAATAGCCTGTGAAAGTTAAGCAGGTAAGAATAAATACAAATTAGGAAAGAAAAAGACACATCATAGCTTTTATTTTTTTAATAATCAAATGAGTACCAAGGAAGTTGTAGATGACCATGGAGTAAATGATAACTTACTTAGGCAAACCTAAATATAGGCAGTCCTGTTTTGCACAGTTCTAAAATGCACAAATCTCAGATATCATGGTTTCAGTTCAGTTCAGTTGCTCAGTCATGTCCAGCTCTCTGCGACCCCATGAATCGCAGCACACCAGGCCTCCCTGTCCATCACCAACTCCCGGAGCTTACTCAAACTCATGTCCATTGAGTCAGTGATGCCATTCAGCCATCTCATCCTCTGTCATCCCCTTCTCCTCCTGCCCCCAATCCCTCCCAGCATCAGGGTCTTTTCCAATGAGTCAACTCTTCGCATGAGGTGGCCAAAGTACTGGCATTTCAGCTTCAGCATCAGTCCTTCCAATGAACACCCAGGACTGATCTCCTTTAGGATGGACTGGTTGGCTCTCCTTGCAGTCCAAGGGACTCTCAAGAGTCTTCTCCAACACCACAGTTCAAAGCTAACCATTAACACTAGACCCCCAACAGCACAGTGGACATTTCAGTTACCATGTTACATTAACTGTGAGTAATTATATACAAGACCACAGTAATTACTATATATAGTAGCAAATATTGCTACTAGCTCTTCAATCCACAAATTAATACATAAACAACAGCTACACAACATGACCAATGACTAACCACTTCTCTAAAGTATCAATGATTGGCCACTGCATATCTGTTATTCAGTTCTTGTACAGACAGCAAAGCATATACCTTATTCCCCAGTAAAAATCTATGTGATATTTTGCAATAATAGACAATTAGAAGAAATTGCCCAACAAAGGCAATTGCAGCAGAGAAATGGAAAGCAATAATGCTGTAACTGAAATTGAAATCAAACTGAAATGGACTCGGTTCTGGGACAAGATGGGAAAAGATGAGTAGGACCTGAGCTAACTTCTCTCATGATGCGACTGATAAGGGATTAATCTCCAAAATACACAAACAGCTCACACAACTCATCAAAAAAGAAACCCTAACAAAAAATGGGCAGAAGATCTAAATAGATGTTTCTCCAAGGACGACGTACAGATGACCAAAAAGCACATGAAAAACATGTTCAACATCACTAATTATTGGAGAAATGCAAATCAAAACTATGAGGTATTACCTCACAAGGGTCAGAATGACCATCATCAAAAAGTCTAGAAACAAAAAATGCTGGAGAGGGTGTGCAGAAAGGAGAACCTTCCTACACTCTTGGTGGGAATGTAAACTGACAGAGCCACTACAGAGAACAGTATGGAGCTTCCTTAAAAAACGAAAAACAGAGCTTTCAAATAATTCAGCAATCCCACTCCTGGGCATATAACCAGAGAAAACCATAATTCTAAAAGATACATGCCCCCCAATGTTCACTGCAGCACTATTTGCAACAGCTAAGACATTTAGGAAGCAACCTAAATGTCCACTGACAGAGGAATAGACAAGGACATGGTATATACTTATCAATAGACTATTATTCAGCCATAAAAAGGAATGAAATAATTCCACTTGCAACAACATAGAGATTGTCATACCAAGTGAAGTAAGCCAGAGAAAGACAAATATCATTTGATCACTTATATGTGGAATCTAAAAAAAATGATACAAATGAACTTACTTACAAAACAAAAACCAGACTCAGAGAACAAGCTTATGGTTGGGGGTGGGGAAAGACTAAGGGAAAGGGATAGATAGGGAGTTTGGGATGGACATAAACACACTGCTGTATTCAAAATGGATAACCAACATGGACCAAGATGGGAGGGGAGTTTGGGGGAGAGTGTGTGTGTGCACGCACTTGGTTGTGTATGACTCTTTGTGACCCCATGGACTGTAGCCCACCAGGCTCTTTTGTCCATGGAATCTTCCAGGAAAGAATATTGGAATGGGTTGTCATTTCCTCCTCCAGGGGATCTGCCCAACCCAGGAACTGAACCCACATCTCCTACACAGGCAGGCAGATTCTTTATCACTGTGCCATCTAGGGGAGAATGGATACATGTATATGTATAGCTGAGTCCCTTCACTGTTCACCTAAAACCATCACAACATTGTTAATCAGCTATACTCCAATACAAACTACAAAATTGAAAAGAAAAAAAAAAAAGATATGGTTACCAAAGCAGAAAGGTGGCAGGAAGGGATAAATTAGGAACTTGGGATTAAGATACACATACTAGTTAATATGAGGCTTCCCAGGTGGCGCAGTGGTAAAGAATCTGCCTAGGGGATTTACGACTGAGCAGTGTGTACACACACACACACCACTATATATAAAATAGATAACTAATAAGGACTTACTATATAGCACAAGGAACTCTACTGAATACTCTGTAATAACCTATAGGGGAAAAGAATCTGAAAAAGAATACATATATGTATAGATATGTGTAACTAAATCACTTTGTGGTATGCCTGAAACTAACACAACACTGTAAATCAACTATACTTCAATACTAAAAAGAAAACTCATGCTGATCGCCCCAGAAATCAAACTAAAATGGAGATGAAGAATAAAAGGCTGACAAGGAAAATGTTTCCAACTTTTGCTGTTTGAGAAACTCTAGATATGCAGTCAGAGGAATCTGGTGAAGGTCAGAGGAATTTTGTTGACAGTAAACTTACTAACATAAAGAAAGTGATCATGATGAAAAGAATGAAGATATCTTGGAGGAAGTGACTCTGGAAAAAAAACATCAATAAAAGATCTCTCAGAGATATTTAACAACATTAAAAGCAAAAGGATAAAACACTAAAAGCTGAACCAAACTTAGAAGCAGGACAGTTTACAAAGAAAGAGAAAAGATGCTCACTCTGTATCATAAGTTTCAAAATGAGAAGAAAGGAAACTACTGTTGATAAGTGCTTACAAAGATTTAAAACACGGTAATCCTCAATATTTCTAATATTTTAAATTACTGAGACAATTCAATAGTGAAGACTAGTTTTCAACAAATGATGCTGGGACAATTGCCTATATAACCACGTGAAAAGAATGAAGTTGGGCCTCTATATTACATCATATATAAAAATGACTCAAGATGGATCAAAGACCTGAATGTAAGAAATAGAACCATGAAAGTTACAGGAAAAACCACAGGTGCAAATCTTTATGTCCTTGGATTAGCCAATGGTTTCTTAAGACACCTTAAGCAAAAGCAACCAAAAAAAAACATATCAGACTTCATAGAAATTAAAAATTTTTGCCAAAGGACACCATCAAGAAAGTAAAAGACACCCCAGAGAATGGGAGAAAATATTTGCAAACCATATACTAAATATGGGTCCAGTATTCAGAACATATGAACAACACATATAACTCAATAAAAGACAAATAACCCCATTAAAAAAAACAGGCAAAGGATTTAAATACAAATTTTTTTCATAGATATAAAAATAGCTAATAAGTTCATGAAAAGATACTCAACATCATTAGCAATCAGTTCAGTCCAGTCACTCAGTCGTGTCTGACTCTCTGTGACCCTATGAACCACAGCACGCCAGGCCTCCCTGTCCAGCACCAACTCCCAGAGTTTACCCAAACTCATGTGCATTGAGTCGGTGATGCCATCCAACCATCTCATCCTCTGACGTCCCCTTCTCCTCCTGCCCTCAATCTTTCCCAGCATCAGGGTCTTTTCAAATGAGTCAGCTCTTCCCATCAGGTGGCCAAAGTATTGGAGTTTCAGCTTCAGCATCAGTCCTTACAATGAACACCCAGGACTGATCTCCTTTAGGATGGACTGGTTGGATCTCCTTGCAGTCCAAGGGGCTCTCAAGAGTCTTCTCCAAAACCACAGTTCAAAAGCATCAATTCTTCGGCTCTCAGCTTTCTTTACAGTCCAACTCTCACATCCATACATGACTACAGGAAAAACCATAGCCTTGACTAGATGGACCTTTGTTGGCAAAGTAATGTCTCTGCTTTTTAATATGCTGTCTAGGTTGGTCATAACTTTCCTTCCAAGGAGCAAGTGTCTTTTAATTTCATGGCTGCAATCACCATCTGCAGTGATTTTGGAGCCCCCAAAAATAAAGTCTGACACTGTTTCCTCATCTATTTGCCATGAAGTGATGGGACCAGATGCCATGATTTTAGTTTTCTGAATGTTGAGCTTTAAGCCAGCTTTTTCACTCTTTAGTTCTTCTTCACTTTCTGCCTTAAGGGTGGTGTCATCTGCATATCTGAGGTTATTGATATTTCCCCCAGCAATCTTGATTCCAGCTTGTGATTCTTCCAGCCCAGTGTTTCTCATGATGTACTCTGCATTTAAGTTAAATAAGCAGGGTGACAATATACAGCCTGGACATACTCCTTTTCCTATTTGGAACCAGTCTGTTGTTCCATGTCTAGTTCTAACTGTTGCTTCCTGACATGCATACAGGTTTCTCAAGAGGCAGGTCAGGTGGTCTGGTATTCCCATCTCTTTCAGAATTTTCCACAGTTTGTCGTGATCCACACAGTCAAAGGCTTTGGCATAGTCAATAAAGCAGAAATAGATGTTTTTCTGGAACTCTCTTGCTTCTTCGATGATCCAGTGGATGTTGGCAATTTGATCTCTGGTTCCTCTGCCTTTTCTAAAACCAGCTTGAACATCTGGAAGTTCACAGTTCACGTATTGCTAAAGCCTGGCTTGGAGAATTTAGAGCATTACTTTACTAGTGTGTGAGATGAGTGCAATTGTGAGGTAGTTTGAGCATTCTTTGGCATTGCCTTTCTTAGGGATTGGAATGAAAACTGACCTTTTCCAGTCCTGTGGCCACTGCTGAGTTTTCCACATTTGCTGATATATTGACAGCAGCATTTTCACAGCATCATCTTTTAGGATTTGAAATAGCTCAACTGGAATTCCATCACCTCCACTGGCTTTGTTCGTAGTGATGCTTCCTTGATTTCACATTCCAGGATGTCTGGCTCTAGGTGAGTGATCACACCATCGTGATTATATGGGTCATGAAGATCTTTTTTGTATAGTTCTTCTTTGTATTCTTGCCACCTCTTAATATCTTCTGCTTCTGTTAGGACAATACCATTTCTGTCCTTTATTGAGCCCATCTTTCCATGAAATGTTCCCTTAGTATCTCTAATTTTCTTGAAGAGATCTCTAGTCTGTCCCATTCTATTGTTTTTCTCTATTTTTTTTGCATTGATCATTGAGGAAGGCTTACTTATCTCTCCTTGCTAGTCTTTGGAACTCTGCATTCAAATGGGTATATCTTTCCTTTTCTCCTTTGCTTTTCACTTCTCTTCTTTTCACAGCTATTTGTAAGGCCTCCTCAGACAGCCATTTTGCTTTTTTGCATTTCTTTTTCTTGGGGATGGTCTTGCTCCCTGTCTCCTGTACAATGTCACAAACCTCTGTCCATAGTTCATCAGGCACTCTATCAGATCTAATCCCTTAAATCTATTTCTCACTTCCACTGTATAATCATAAGGGATTTGATTTAGGTCATACCTGAATAGTCTAGTGGTTTTCCAGGAAAATGCAAATAAAAACCATAATGAAATAGCATTTCAAACATATTAGAATAATCTTAATTAAAAAAACCAGGCAAGAACAGGTGTTGGCAAAGATGTGACAAAAATGGAACCCTTGTACATTGCCAGTGGGATCGTAAAATCATGTGGCCATTTGGGAAAACAGTTTGTCAGCTCCTCAAATATTAAAGATAACACATGACCCAGCACACTTCCTTAAGTAGATATATACCCAAGAGGAATTTAAATGCTGTCAATTCAAAAATTTGTAGACAAATGTTCATAGCATTAATCATAATATCCAAAGAGTAGAAACAAATGTTCTTCAACTGATAAATAAAATGTGGTATATCCAACAAGAGAGTATTATTCAGACATGAAAAAGCATGAAGTACTGATTCATGCTACAACACATATATAGCTTAAAAACATTGTTAAATGAAATAACCCAAATATACCAAGCCACATATTGTATTACTCCATTTATATGAAATATCTAGAACAGGCAAATTCATAGAAAGTAGAGAAGCATTTGCCAGGGGCACTAGAGCAGGGGAATAGAGAGTGATTACTTAAATGGGGTTTCTTTTGGTGTGATGAAAATAGTGGTGATGATTGTACAACCATGTAAATACTAAAACCAGGGTAAATTTTACAGTATATGACTAGAAAACAGAAAGAAAAAATTATTTATGAAAAACTGTACTAATAAATATTAGTATTACATATTTTAAATTTCCCTAGAAATTTATACTCAACAGTAAGAGTTTTTAATGTTTTGAGAAAAAATTTTAAAGGTCCCAGAATAATTTTAAGTTTTCCCACTGATTATTAAGATCAGTGTACATGGTTTCAGCGTATATATTCACTTTTACAGTCACAAAGTATATTGCAAATTGAATACTGTCTGTACAGTGACAGAAATATCTCATCTGAAGCATCTTTAAAAAAAAAATTTAACTTTTTATTTTGTATTGGAGTATAGCCAATTAATAGTTTTGATAATTTGAGATGGATAGCAAAGGGACTCAGCCATGCATATAGATGTATCCATTCTCCCCCAAACTCCCCTCTCATCCAGGCTGCCACATAACATTGAGGAGAGTTCTCTATGTGAAGCATCTTTTGAAGAAGTAGAATAATAATGTGATTACCTACCTGTAATTCCTCTGCTGTGGAGACATCTAGTCCTGTTAGATCTTGGATTCTCATATTAATTCGTGACACCACAGGGTTTTCATAGCCAGACAGCCAGGCACTAAAAACATGAAGAAAATATTAGTTTTTACTGATTAAGTTTCAATACATAAAGGCCATTTTAAAAGCCATAATATTATGGCTTTATCTATAAGCATTTAGTTGATTTGTTTCTTTGATACGATTTTTACTGATATTAAAGGATGTTACATTCAACAGCTGGAGGTTGGAAAGGGAAAAAATTAATATCATTTATTACAGAGTTTTCATGAAAGCAGGTAGGTTAATGTAAGAAGGCTATAAAGGACTATCTACACTGAGAATTTCTTGTTAATTTTGAAAAAAAAATATATATATATATATATCAAACAAACATATATATCAAACAGAAAACAACTGTTCCTTTTAGGTAAGGTATAGAAACTGGCCAGGGTGGAGGTTAGGGATTTTAGCTTGATTTATATAATGCTAATATTTTATAAGGAAAAGAATTCATGTACTGATTGTATAAATAAAAAAGTTTTTAAAAGATAGCCAACACACACAGTAGGATGGCTATAATCAAAAAGATGGACAATCACAAGTGTTGGTGATGATGTGAAGTAATCAGAACCCTCATATATTGCTGGTAGGAATGTAAACTAGTGCAGTCTCTCTGGAAAACACTTTGGCAGTTCCTCAAATTGTTAAACATAGAGTGACCTAGTAATTCCATGCCTAGGTATGTATATCCAAGAGAAATTAAAATGTGTGTTCATAGAAAAACTTGTGCACAAATGTTCACAGTAGCATTGTTAATGGCCAAAAAGTGGAAATAATCCAAATGTCCATCAACTGATGGACAGATACATAAAATGTAATATATCCATAAGATGGATTATTGTGTCATGAAAAGGAAGTACTGATACATACCACAACATGGATGAACCTTGAAACCATTATGTTAAAGATAAATCAGATACAAAAGGTCACACATTATGATTCTATTTACATGAAATGTCCAGGTAAATCGATAGAGACAGTAGATTAGTGGAAGGGGGAATTAAGGAATGGTTGCTAATGGGTACAGGATTTCCTTTTGGTGGCAAAAATGTTCTGGAATTAGATAATGGTGATGACTGCACAGCTAAGAAGACTGAAAACCACTGAACCGTATACTTTAAAGGATGAATTTTATGGTATGGAAACTATAGGTCCATAAAATGGTACTGCAAAATTCAACTCTCTCCTTTATGTATGCTTTTCCCCAGTCTAATAGACTCTTTCTTTCTTCACTTCTCTCATCAAGCTATGGTCCATCATTTCTACAGCATCAGCAATTTTTTTTAGTAGTGCCATGGCTGCAAGATCTTAGTTTCCCAAACAGGGATTGAACCCATGCCTCCTGCAATGGAAGCATGGTGTCCTAACCACTGGACCACCAGGGAAGTCCTTCAACAGCATTCTTGATAAAAAGCCTAAATTCAACTCTCTGGCAAAAAGACAATCCCGAATGAATTTCTTTTCTCCAAGCTTATACCTGTATTACCAAATTCTACTGGAGAAAATAATGAAATAAGGCAAATACACACCACTAAAACTTCATGAACACTGACTTTAAGGGGGCCTTACCCTCTCCTTTATTCTGAACGCCAGCCCACCCGTGAGTCCCCCTTCACTCAGTGGACAACATATCTCCTACTTAGAAGACAAAACAGAAACCATACATCTATTCCTGATACACAGTTCATTCTAGTTCATTCCAGTTCCAAAAGGAGATTTCTCTCCATTATCTGAGGCCAATCCTCTGCCTTAGATTCTATTATCTCCTACCATTTCAGGAATCATGAATCACTGATTAGCCCTTCTCTCTCTTACGTAATCAACATCCATTCTCACTAATTCCTCCCACAGCTTTTAACAGGGCTTAAGACTCTCCCATTAAACAAATAAGCAAAAATTTCAAATTCTTTCCCTCAATTCTTTCTCTCTCCAGCTACCAACTTCTTTCTCCTCCCTCTTCAAGCCAACCTTTTCAGAGACTCCTCACTTCTCAATCCATTCCAATCTAGCTTTAATCTCTATCACTCCATCAAAACCACTCTTGCTAATATCACCCATAATCCTACTGTTATTAAATCTAACAAGATTTTCTGATTTTTCTCACAGTTATTTGCTCTTTTAGTAACATTTCACAATGTTCATCCCTCTTGAAACTCTCCTCCTCACTCATGCATTCTCCAGGCATTCCTTGCTTACTAACTCTTTAGCTTGAAGTCTCCTGTTATCAAGAAGAACACCTTCACTTTTACCATTTTAGGAAATTATCGGTCTAATCTTTCACTGTATAGTTTTAAAATAACAAAAGCTTGTTATATTCAGCATTATAATATGCTTGGTTATTTAACAAGACTATCACAAATGCTTGTTATATTCAACAAATGGTTCTGGGACACAGGATAACCATGTGCAAAAGAAAGAAGATGAACCCCCACCTCATTCACATTATAATAAAAAAATTAACTCAGAAGGGATTAAAGATCTAAATATAAGAGCTAAAATTACAAAACTTTTTGGGAAAAAACATGATGTATATCTCTGTGACCTTAGATTAGTCATTGCTTTAGCTATGACATCAAAAGTAGAAACAATAACAACAAAAACAAACAGGACATCATCAAAATAAACTGTAATTTCAAGAAACATGAATTTCAGAACAGCATTATTCATAACAGTCAAAAAGTAGAAATAACTCAAATATCTATCAAAAGATAGATAAAATGTGGTGTATCTATACAAAAGAATATTGCTCAACCATACCCTGAAAACATGCTAAACAAAAGAAGCCAGACACTAAAAGGTCACGTATATGATTCCATGTACACAAAATATTCAGGATAGGCAAATCCATTAAAAACAGAAAGTAGATTAGTGGTTGCCCAGTGTTGGGGCAGGTAGGGGATTAAGGATTGGATAGTTATGGCTGAGGAGTGTAAAACTTCTCTTTGGGGTAATGAAAATGTTCTAAAATTAATTGCGGTGATGGAGGCACAATTCTCTAACTCTACTAATAACCACTGACTTATACACTTCAAATGGGTGAATTGTATGGTATATAGTTCAATAAAGCTTTTTTTTGGCCACACCAAGCAGCTTGCAGGATCTTAATTTTCCAACCAGGGGCTAAACCCATGCCCCCTGCATTGGGAGCTCAAAGTCTTAACCACTGGACTGCGAGGCAAGTCCCTCAATAAAGCTATTTTTAAAAGAAATACTTATTATAAAAATTTCAGAGAGTATAAAAGTACATGAAGTCCCTTTCCTAGTCTCAAAACACTATTAACAAATAGATATATATCCTCTCAATTGCTTTTCCCTGTGTATAAACAAACTTACTGAGAGAATTAAAAAAAAAAAAAAAGAATCCACCCTTCAACCTTTCACCTTAATATACACATACACTTTTTTCTCCCTAAAAATACTTCTGACATATTTCCTAGTTAATACACATAATGCTACCTCATTTTTTAAAATTACTGTGGTAAAAAATATACAACATAAAATTAACCATTTTAACCATTTTTAAGAGTGCAATTCAGGGGTGTTAAATACATTCACAAAGTTGCACAAGCATCACCACTCTCTATTTCCAAAACTTTTTCTCCATCCCACACTGAAATTCTGTATACTCTGAAACAACAATTTGCCATCTCCTTCTCCTCCCATTCCTGGGTAACCTCTAGTCCACTTTTTGTCTGTATGAATTTGCCTATTCTAGATACCTCCTATAAGTGGAATCATACCATATTTGTTCTTTTGTGCCTGGCTTATTCACTTAGTAAATATCCTCAAGGTTCATCCATGTTACAGCATGTATCAGAATTTCAATCCTTTTAAAAGTTGAATATAGTCCGTAATTTGTTTATACCACATTTTATTTATCCATTCACCCACTAATTGATACTTGGGTTGCCTCTACCTGTTGACTATCATGAATAAGGCTGTTATGAACATGGATGTACAAGTAATCAGTTCGAGACCTCTTTTCAATTTGGGGGGATATATACCTAGAAGTGGAATTTCTAGATCATATCATAATCCCATGTTCGACTTTATGAGGAACTGCCAGCCTGTTTTCCACAGCAACTATACCACTTTACATTTCAATTCATCACTTTTTTTTAATTACTGTTTTTTATTTTTAACATTAAAATATCTTTAATTCCAAGATGACCACAAAGGCCAATAAAGCACTGGTTTAAAAAGTCTGTTTCTAATTTTTCTCTATTACAAACAATATTGTAACAAATTTCAGTATACATTTTGCATACTTCTGCAACTATCTCTGTAGGATAATTTCCTAGATGTGGAAATACTACATGAGTTTTACATTTTGATAAATGATATCAAATTGCCTTCCAGAAGTATTTGTGACTTATACTTCTGTCAACTGTTTATGAGTGCCCATTTCATAAAATCCTTGACAGTATCAATCTTTTTAATCTTTGCCAATCTTAGAGGCAAAAACATTTTAATTGTTTAAATTTTTAAAAAGTTTTAATTTGCACTTCTCACTCTATCATAAACTATCTTAATAGAAGGTTTAGAAATTAAGCCTCAGATGAGAGACAGTCACTGATAACCACAGCTTTAAAAGAAACTGCTATAGTCACTGCAGAGGAAAATGAGTTCTACATAGGAGGTTATTTCACTTAATTTGACTTTTATATGAAACCTCTCCAAAATATAGTAAGATTCTCCTAAGCTGGAGAACACATTTAAAACATTTTACTCATCCCATCCTTAAAAGCAATACTGCTAATCTGTCTTCAGGAACATTATGGTAGACTTATTGGATAGTTGAAATTAGCTGAGTTATTTTAACACTACTAAAAATGACAAGACAATGATACTGTAATATGTTAACTGTCTGTTCTTTAGGATCTAGAAGTCTTACTCCTACATTAAATTAAATAAATCAGATATCAACATTCTTCTAGTATTCAGTGCTTTAACTGAGTTAGAATGTAAAATTATAGCATTTACTGTAACCTGGAAAAAAATCATTTGAAGAACATTCTCTATCTTTTGTACAATTATAATTGAAAATGTCAACTAAGTTATACAGTGTTTTTTCCACAAAAAATAGTTCAGCGCTAGGAGAAAAACAGAACTCTTTTTATGTGTCTTCTTTTTCCATTAATAATTAGATAACCCAAAATATATTTCTTTTGGTTTTAATGACAGGAACTGAGAGTTAAGTTGTACATGCAGAGTAACATTAACATTTTTTCATTCCTAAAGAGTTTCTGCTGTAAAAAAAGTTCATTATCCTTTTAATATATACTTTAAAAATATCACTGGAATGCTTTATTTAAGTAAAAAGAAACAGTCTGACGTTGCATGACCATATTTCTAATACTAAGGAACACATGCTCAAGTAAACAGACAACATCACTTTGGAGGTTTTTAAGTGAAAGTCACTCAGTCATGTCCAACTCTTTGCAACCCCAAGGACTGTACAGTTCATGGAATTAATTCTCCAGGCCAGAATACTGGAGTGGGTAGCCTTTCTCTTCCCCAGGTGATCTTCCCAACCCAGGGATCAAACTCAGGTCTCCTGCACTGCAGGCAGATTCTTTACCCGCTGAGCCACAAGGGAAGGTTAAGATTGTTTACAAAACTGCCAAAAGAAAACATGATTAATGTAATCTGCATACCACTATGTGATTTTTTAGCAAAGGTAAAATATAATTCAGGTCCCAAAGTTACAGAGGGCAAAACTTTCAATAACTCTTCCCTATGTGCTTCACAATTAACAAAGAAAGGCTAATCATCTAGACTTGGAATTTATCCAGTCCCTTTAGTTCTCAGTGGGACAGTTATACAATAACACTATAGATCTATCTAGATCTATCCATTTCAGTTATCTCAATCTGAGAACGACTGTTCTAGCCAATAGAAGGGGATGTTGTTGTTACAAGCTATGCCAATTAAAAAAAAAATTGGTATCACTCAAGGCTATCTGCCTTAACCTCTAAACTGTAAAAATATTCATACATTTTTACACTCCATTTGCTCCTTTTTAGCATGGGGTAAATTAAATCTTAAGCATAATAAGATATCATATTATAGGAAATCTGTACTTCAAAGTAAAAAATGAAATCACTTCCAAGAAGTGATACTGATTCCACCAAAATTAAAGAAGCTTTTTCTACCACACTCAATAAACTATTTACAATATATTACTTTAACTGGACTTATGAACTCATATAACTGCCTTCTCTGAGTAGACAACTGAATGTGTATGGGCGTATGTGTGCTCAGTCACTCAACTCTGTCCAACTCTTTGTGACCACATGGACTGTAGCTCGCCAGGCTCCTCTATCCATGAAATTTTCTAGGCAAGAATACTGGAGTGGGTTGCCATTTCCTTCTCCAGGGGATCTTCCTGACCCAGGGATCAAACCTGCGTCTCTTGTATCTCCTTCATTGACAAATGGATTCTTTTATCACTGCACCACCTATAACTGAATGATTACCTCTCAAAAACTAAAATTCCATTACTTTGATTTAGCCAAACTATCAGCTTCTCCAGTAACAAGCTGAGGTGGAGCGGTGGTAAAGAATTTGCCTGCCAATGCAGGAGACACAGGTTCAATCCCAGAGTTGGGAAGGTCCCCTGGAGAAGGAAATGGCAACCCATTCCAATATTCTTGCCTGGAAAATTTCATGGAGAGAGGAGCCTGAAGGCTACAGTCTACGAGGTTGCAAAGAGTCAGACACAGCTGAGCACACACACACACACACACACACACACACACAGTAAAACTTTAGGGTGTTTTTTTTTTATATATATATACTGGAAAGACAAAAAATGATTTGCCAAAAGTTCACATGTAGTCAATAAAGTAAATATTTTGTTTTTTAAACAGTAGTGGATTTCCACACGTATTCTGCCCAAAGAAAATTCTATTTGCTAGAACATGAACATATTTTCACTTCCACAGATGATGATGCAATCATTTAGAAATGTCTCAGAATACAGATATTTGAAATTCCCTTCTGACTCTTTCAAAATACAGATGTTCCCAGAGAAAAAGGGACCTCTTTAACTGACATCAGTACACACAAACTCTTTCTGCTGTTTTGCACTGGAGATGACTTCTTCAGAGGTATAAAATATGAAGGAAACATAAAACACTCATTTATTTCACTTGTGAGATCTCCAAATTTCAGATTTACAGTGATGGGTAGAAAATCTCTCAATAGATATTAAATTTTCAAAATAGTAAAAGCTTTTTATTTGTTAAAATATGAAATGTACTGGACATTTCAAGGAGCAAATTCTTTCCTTAACTATTAAGACCTCTCTCTCACTTTAAAGATTTTATTTTTTAAAGGGCTGATGAAAATTTTTCCTTTAGAGTAAAAATGAAAACCACTGTGCTATGGAATTCTTTTTTTACTAGGTTGTTTTGAACACAAACACACACTCACACTACATACTTTGCCAAGTCTGCGTGAATTTACTGTGGTGTTATTCACTCTTTCAATGTGTCTAATGTTACTGGCTAAGTATCTTCTGTTGTTAAATATAATATAAAGTATGGCTATACATTTCTCAAAAATCCAGAGCTATGAAATTATAATATTTTCAAAAATAAGCTCAGAATGTTTAAAAATATTTAGCTCCAAAGAGGGGAAAAAAAGGTTTGGATCACCTTTCCAAGAGTAATTTGACTTTTGGTAAGAGTCCAGTGACTCTGTGGGCTGAATATTTTGTCAAAAAGTCCATTGTATATATAGAAAATTTCCAAAAATGACTTCGAAAACACTAAGTTCATAAAATTTTAAGTGCTTCCTAAAAACATCCAAATCTGGAGAACTTACTAGCTTTATGACACTTTAAAAAAAAAAAAAGCCTAAAACCATGTAATAATCTCTAATAAAATATATAATGGATTTATATTTTTTAAAAAATAGATGAGCTCGCTTTTTAGACATGAAAAGGTTCTGTAAATGGAAAATTAGTGTACTCAACTTCAAATGAGGGTTAATTTTTATACAATGCACAGAAGCATTATAATCATGGTTTAGCATGTTTATCCAAATTAATTATTGCAAATCCTTACCTTGTATTAGTATTAACAAACATCAAAATCACATTACAGGAATGTGATTGGGGTAAGGGGATAGATAGCGGTATAGGACAGACAGTATACCAGAATATGTGTGTGGGGATGCTGAATACATGAATAAGACTTTTAGTCATAAAAATATGTTTTTATATATATTCATCACATTATACTTCTCCACAACAAAATGTTTATGTAAACTGATAAAAATATAAATTTCCTGTAACATAAAGGCTTAACTGTTTAAAAAAAAAAAACATGTCTCCTAGAATGGGTTATTACAATGCTTTTGAATTGTGGTGCGGGGGAAGATTCTTGAGAGTCCCTTGGACAGCAATGAAGTCAAATCAATCAATCCTAAAGGAAATCAACCCTGAATATTCATTGGAAGCTGAAGCTCCAACACTCTGGCCACCTAATGTGAAGAGCCAACTCACTGGAAAAGACCCTGATGCTGGGAAAGATTTGAGGGCAAGAAGAAAAGGGGACGGCAGAGGATGAGACGGTGAGATAGCATCACTGACTCAATGGACATGAATTTGAGCAAACTCTGGGAGATAGTGAAGAGCAGGGAGGCCTGACATGCTGCAGTCCGTGGGGCTCCAGAGAGTCGGACATGACTTAGCGACCGAACAACAGCAATCTAAAGAGCATAATTAAACAATCATCATCAAATATAAAAAATGAAAATATATTAAAATATTCCTAAGGAGATGAAGCTTAGTTAGTTTACTTTCAATTAAGTATTATATGTGAATAAATATTACTTGTTCCTACAATGAGACAGAATTCAGCTCAATGACACTTCTATTTTCATGAGAGCTGAGAAACTTTATTTATACAAATAAGTAGATGGAAAAAGAGTTCTGTTGAAATAACATCATTTATTTTGTGAGCTTCTATTAAGTTATATATAGTTACAAGTTACATAGTGATCTTTTATTAAAAATTATTTCGGTGACATATCAGCCAATAACTTAAGATTCTCTTAAATATTGTTAAAAACAAAGAATTTGAAACCAACTGACTTACGGAGGACTTTTTAGGTAACCTTTCAAGGTGTCATTCTCACTACCTATAGCTACTGAGTCACCCTGAGATTTTTAAGCCCCTGCTTTACTACAAATTAAATTAGGCCTTGTTCTATGGAGAGTCTTTGGGAACTTCTGTTACTATAATATGAGAACACAACTTCACTTACCAGGTAGGGTGTGTGGGCTATCTCAGCAGGCATTTTAAAACCTAGCAAGTCACTTTGAAAAACCTCTATCAACTTCCCCATAACCATGTCCATCATGAAAAGTCATGCACAGCTATCAAATACCTATGCCTAATAGCCGAGGTCTTAGAAACTATAAGATGGGTTTTGTGAAAACTAGACTCTCAAGAAAGAAAATAGTCCAAATATGACTAAAATTCTTCCCATTACTCCCTTACCTCTTAGATACTCTGTACTGGGCTGTGGTCAATTTTCCAGTCTCAGGGTCATGTACTGTAGCTCGGCTCAGCTACAAAAAAAGAGAAAGGACAAGGGCTTACTCACGTAGCAGGCAATTTGGGGCTTTTGTTTTGTTTTGCCAAGCCACAGGTGATTGGAAGGGTTCAGATTGGTCTGGATGGTAGGCAATGGTTTCAAATCAGCAGAAACATTTAGAAAAGTGGCGATAAGAAAAGCCACTTCCAAATCAAGAAAAAAATGGGTTGACAGATTTTTGTTGCAGATTGTCCTTTCACTTTTTTTTTTTTAAATCATTTGAAGCTGTATGTAAATGATTTATAGCACTGGGTTTCACAGGTGCTTTCTCAGATCTAGAAGTTTAATGTTCTCCAAATTATTTGGCAAAAGAATAATTAGTAGTCTCTTTAAATTCATTTTTTAAAACTCTCTCACCAAGCTATAACTGTCGTTAAATCTCTCTGGTAAAGTAAAAGGCAACTAAACTCATAAATAATAGCATTTGGAAGACTGAGATCTGAAGCATAACTCTGTTCTTTCCATTGCCAACGTTTAAGTCAGCAAGTTTTTTAAAATAAAAACTCCAACAGGAGAAATACAGATTACTCCATAATGACAATGTTATTTTATAAGATGCATGAACAAATGCCAACACAATCATCATGAAGAATGATGTGAATTCACTGCAGCATATTTATGAATATGAGAGAACTACATAAACAAAGACTACTCCCAGATTAATCCAGGCTGCTGCCTTTTTTTTTTTTTTTTTTCCATCTTTGGCAAGAAAAAAGAAAAAGGAATAAGAAAACAAGTATTAGGCCAGTTCCTGGACATTTGATTCCTAACCTGAAGAGAGATGAAAAGTATATTAACTCTCTAAAAATAATAGATCAATTAAATATTAAAAACAGAACTTCTAGTTAAAGAGAAAGACCCGTGAAACACAAAGCAGTTTTTCCATGCTTAAAAATAGGCGGTGACTTGACTGGAGACTGAAAATGACCTACTTCCCTTAAATGAATGACTCCTGTAGGATGTACAAAACACTCATTAGAGGGCAAAATATGCAGCATACACATCTCTTACCTTTTGCTAATTCTGTAATGTACCGTCTCCAAGTCTCCTGTTATTGGGTTTGAAATGGTGGCTCGCCTCAGCTGTGAAGCCAACCATCAAAATAGTTGCATTACAAAACAAAAAAAAAAAAAGGAATCACATTTATCCAATCAGTCAGAAATCTGGGATTTTTACAAAGGAGGCTAAAAAGAGAAAATAACTCCATAAACTTCCAGTCACCTGTGTTGAACCTTGAAAGCCAGTTAATTTTTAAATTTTTTATATTTTTTAAAAAAAATTTTTTCATGAATGGAGGGTACACAAACAAAACAGACTGGAAACTAAATTTCCTTGAAAGGTTACAGGATGTGAAATGAAGAAAAGAAATTTCTAAAATTTGAAGTAAATTTATAGTTACAAGAATGGCTATATACATTCAATAACTCATTACAAACTTTTTGCTTTAATTTTTTTCAGTGACAGAAATGTTTGCAAAGCTAATGTTCAAAATCAGTTTGAAGACAAGATGGCAGAGTAGGTGGACTTGGAGTACATCTCTCTCCATGAATAAATCAGGAATACACCTTCAGACACAGAAGTGCATGCAGAACACCAGCTAAGAGTGGACAGGAGTACCTGATCAGATGAAAAGAATATATAGACCCACGCAAAACTCAAGATCAAGCCCTGAGCCTATGGAGTAGGAGCACTGACTCCAAGACCCTAGACTACCAGAGAACTAACCCTAGGGAGTATCAAATAGTGAGAACTCACACAATGGAAACCACCTGAATACAAGACCTGGCATCACCCAACCACCAGTAGCACCCTGTGCAGGACACCTCATCTAAACAACAAACAAAACAAAAATACAAACCCAATCATCAGCAGACAGAATTACCACCTCACTCAGCCTTGCCCATCACAGGAAAAACAAACAAACAAACAAAACTCAGCATAAATCTCACCCTGTATAAAGCTTACACAAACTTCTGGACCAACCTTAGGAGGGCAGAATCCAAAAGGAAGAAAGAATTCAACCTTGAAGTCTGGGAAAAGGAGACCTCAAACACAAAAAGTTAAAAAAAAAAAAAAAAGGCAGAGAAATACTACACAAATGAAGGAACAAATGAGAAACACAGAAGTCCAAATAAATGAAGAGGAAACAGGCAAATTCCCTGAAAAACAATTCAGAATAATGATAGTAAAGATGATTAAAAACCTTGAAAACAAAATGGAGAAAATGCAAGAATCAATTAACAAAGACCTAGAAGAATTAAAGAATAAATATTCAGAGACAAACAACACAATTACTGAAATTAAAAATACTCTAGAAGGAATCAATAGAATATCTGAAGCAGAAGAATGAATCAGTGAGCTGGAAGATAAAATAGTGGAAGTAACTTCTGAAGAGCAGAATAAAGTAAGAAGAACAAAAAGAACTGAGGATAGTCTCAGAGACCTCTGGGACAATATCAAAAGCACCAACATTTGAATTATAGGGGTCCCAGAAAAAGAAGAGAAAATGAAAGAGTATGAGATAATTTTTGAAGAGATTACAGTTGAAAATTTCCTCAATATGGAAAAGGAAATAGTCAATCAAGTCCAAGAGGCACAAAGAGTCCCATACAGGATAAACCCAAGGAGAAACATGCCAAGACACATACTAATCAAGCTAACAAAGACTAAACACAAAGAAAGAATATTAAAAACAGCAAGGGAGAAGCAACAAGTAACATATGAGGGAAACCCCATACGCTTCAGGAACTCTGCAGGCCAGAAGGGAATGGCAGGGTATATTTTAAGTACTGAAAGGGAAAAATCTACAACTAAGATTACCGTACCCAGCAAGGATCTCATTCAAAACTGATAGAGAAATAAAAAGCTTTCCAGACAAGCAAAAGTTAAGAGAATTCAGTACCACCAAACCAGCTTCACAACAAATGTTAAACAGACTTAATAGTCAAAAAAACAAGAGAAGGAAAAAGATCTACAAGATCAACCCCAAACTACTAAGGAAGCTGAAGTAGCAATCCTCATATCAGACAAAATAGACCTTAAAATAAAGAATATTACAAGAGATAAGGAAGGACACTACATAATGATCAAGGGATCGATCAAGAGGAAGACATAACAATTGTAAATATCTATGCACCCAACATAGGAGCACCTCAATACATAAGACAAACAATAACAGACACAAAAGGAGAAATTGACAGTAACACAATAATAGCAGGAGACTTTAACACCCCACTCACACCAATGGACAGGTCATCAAAACAGAAAATTAATAAGGAAAGACAAGTCTTAAATGATATATTAGATGAGATGAATCTCATCAATACTTTTGGGACATTCCATCCAAATGCAGAAGAATACACCTTCTTCTCAAGTGCACATGGAACATTCTCCAGGATAGACCACATCTTGGGTCACAAATCAAACCTCAGTAAATTTAAGAAAACTGAAAGAGTATCAGGCATTTTCTCCAACCATAATGTTAACAGACTAGATATCAATTACAAAAAAAAGAAACTAAGAAACACAAACACATGGAGATTAAACAACATACTTCTAAATAACCAACAGGTTACTGAAGAAATCTAAAGGGAAATCAAAAAATTTCTAGAAACAAATGACAATGAAAACATGACAACTCAAAACCTATGGGCTGCAGCAAAAGAAGTTCTAAGAGGGAAGTTTATAGCAATACAATCCTACCTCAAGAAGTAAGAAAAAGATTGAATAAACAACCTAAGTTTACACCTAAAACGGCTGGAAAAAGAATAAAAAAACACCAAAATTAGTAGAAGAAGAGAAATCATAAAGATCTGAGCAAAAATAAATGAAAAATAAACAAAAGATACAACAGTAAAGATTAATAAAACTAAAAGCTGGTTCTTTGAGAAGATAAACAAAATTGACAAAACTTTAGCAAGACTCATCAAGAAAAAAAGAGAGAAGAATCAAATCAACAAAATTAGAAACAAAAAAGGAGAGGTTACAACAGACAATGTAGAAATACAAAGGATTGTAAGAGACTATTATGAACAACTATATGGCAATAAAATGGATAACCTGGAAGAAATGGACAGATGCTTAGAAAAGTTCAATCTTCCAAGACTGAACCAAGAAGAAATAGAAATTATGAACAATCCAATTACAAGCACTGAAATTGAAGCTGTGATCAAAAATCTCCCAAAAAACAAAAGCCCAGGATCAGATGGCTTCACAGGAGAATTCTATCAAACATTTAGAGAAGAGCTAATGCCTATCCTTCTAAAACTTTCAAACAACTGCAGAGGAAGGAACACCTCCAAACTCATTCTACGAGGCCACCATCACTCTGATACCAAAACCAGACAAGGACAACACACAAAAAAGAAAACTACAGGCCAGTATCACTGATGAACATAGATGCAAAAATCCTCAACAAAATTTTAGCAAACAGAATTCAGCAACACATCCAAAAGTTCATACACCATGATCAAGTTGGGTTTATTCCAGGAATGCAAGGATTCTTCAATATATGCAAATCAATCAATGTGATACACCATATTAACAAATTGAAAGATAAAAACCATATGATAATCTCAATAGATGCAGAAAAAGCCTCTGACAAAATTCAGTGCCCATTTATGATTAAAACTCTTCAAATAATGGGCACAGAAGGAACCCACCTCAACATAGTAAAGGCCATATATGATAAGTCTATAGCAAACATTATTCTCAGTGGTGAAAAACTGAAATCATTCCCCCTAAGATAAGGAACAAGACAAGGGTGCCCACTTTCACCACTATTATTCAACATAGTTCTGGAAGTCCTAAATACAACAATTAGAGAAGAAAAAGAAATAAAAGGCATCCAGATCAGAAGAAGTAAAGCTCTGTCTGCAGATGACATAATACTGTACATAGAAAACGCTAAAGATAGTATCAGAAAATAACTAGAGCTAATCAGTGAATTTAGCAAAGCTGCAGGGCACAAAATCAATACACAGAAATCACTTGCATTTCTATATACTAACAATAAAAAATCAGAAAGAGAAATTAAGCTTACCTAAGGAGACAAAAGAACTGTACACAGAAAACTGTAAGACACTGATGAAAGAAAACATAAATATGTTCCTGGGTAGGAAGAATCAATATTGTGAAAATGACTATACTACCAAATGCAATCTACAGATTCAATGTGATCCCTATCAAATTACCAATGACAGTTTTCACAAAACTAGAACAAAAAATTTCACAATTCATATGGAAACACAGAAGACCCCGAATAGCCAAAGCGGTCTTGAGAAAGAAGAATGGAGCTGGAGGAATCAACCTTCCTGACTTCAGATTATACTACAAAGCTACAGTCATCAAGACAGTAAGGTACTGGCACAAAAACAGAAATACAGACCAATGGAACAAGATAGAAAGCCCAGAAATAAACCCACGCACCTATGGGTACCTTATTTTTGACAAAGGAGGCAAGAATATACAATGGGGCAAAGACAGCCCCTTCAATAAATGGTGTTGGGAAAACAGGACAGCTACATGTAAAAGAATGAAATTAGAACACTTCCTAAAACCATACACAAAGATAAACTCAAAATGGATTAAAGACCTTTATGTAAGACCAGAAACTATAAAACTCTTAAAGGAAAACACAGGCAGAACACCCGATGACATAAATCAAAGCAAGATCCTCTATGACCCACCTCCTAGCAGAAAGGAAATAAAAACAAAAGTAAACAAGTGGGACCTGATTAAACTTAAAAGCTTTTGCACAGCAAAGGAAACTATAAGCAAGGTGAAAAGACAACCCTCAGTATAAGAGAAAATAATAGCAAATGAAACAACTGATGAAGTATTAATTTCCAAAATATACAAGCAGCTCATACAACTCAATGTCAGAAAAACAAACAACCCAATCAAAAAGTGGGAAAAAGACCTAAACAGACATTTCCCCAAAGATGACATACAGATGGCTAACAAACACATGAAAAGATGTTCAACATCACTCATTATTAGAGAAATGCAAATCAAAACTATGATGAGATATCACCTCACACTGGTCAGAATGGCCATCATCAAAAAGTCTAAAAACAATAAATGCTGGAGAGGGTGTGGAGAAAAGGGAATGTTCTTGCACTGTTGGTAGGAATGTAAATTGATACAGCCACTATGGAAGATGGTATAGAGATTCCTTAAAAAACTAGGAATAAAACCACCCATATGACCCAGCAATCCCATTCTTAGGCATATACCCTGAGGAAACCAAAGTTGAAAAAGACACATGTATCCCATTGTTCATTGCAACACTATTTACAATAGCCAGAACATGGAAGCAATCTAGATGTCTATCAACAGATGAATGAATAAAGCTGTGGTACAGATACACAATGGAATATTACTCAGCCATAAAAGGAACACATTTGAGTCAGTTCTGATGAGGTGAATGAACCTAGAACCTATTTTCCAGTATGAAGTGAGTCAGAAAGAGAAGATAAATATCATATTCTAATGCATATATATGGAATCTAAAAAAATGGTTCTGAAGAATTTATTTACAGGGCAGCAATGAAGAAACAGACATAGAGAATAGACTTATGAACATGGGGAGAGGAGAGGAGAGGATGTAGATGTATGGAAAGAGTAACCTGGAAACTTACATTACCATATGTAAAATAGATAGCCAATGGGAATTTGCTGTATGGCTCAGGAAACTCAAACAGGAGCTGTGTATCAATCTAGAGGGGTAGAATGGTGTAGGAGATGGGAGGGAGGTTCAAAAGGGAGGGCATATATGTATACCTATGGCTGATTCATGTTGAGGTTTGACAGAATACAACAAAATTCTGTAAAGCAATTATCTTTCAATAAAAAAATAAATTAAGAAAAAAAATCAGTTTCAAGGTCAATCTTCCTTCAAGATATTTGCTTATATATTTCAAATAAACAGTGAAAAAATCTTAGACTGAGCACAAAGACTGATGAAAAGAACTCATAAATGTTATTTTTTTAAAAAAACACAGAAAGAGATGACAGCCAAGATAATGATTTTAAACTTTTTTCTAAAAATGAAAGATGGTTCGGAGGTTAACAAGAATATAAAATTTTCATTGTCATTGTGTTTTTTGATCAAATAATCTAATTGAGGCATCCCTTTTAAGACTGAGGTCTCCAAACTCAGAGATATAAGACAGTCTCCAACCTGAAATGAATTCCTAATTAATATTCTACCGCAATAATTTTGGTTTACTGACACAAATAAAAGACTAAAATTAAAAAAAAAAGACACAATATGACATCACTATCTTTTATCTGTTTAAAAGATTTATAAGAGCTCCCTTGGACAACACCCATTTTCATTTAAAATACTGGAGTGGGTTGCCATGCCCTTCTCTAGGAGATCTTCTCGGCCCAGGGGTTGAACCTGAGTCTCCTGCATTGCAGGCAACTTCTTTACCATCTGAGCCACCAGAGAAGCTCATAATCTTTAGTAAAGAAACAAAAAGTACCCATTTGGAAAAGCAGTAAAACTTAACAGCAACAAACATTCTGACTTCAAGTTTATTCTGCAGTACAGATATCCAGACAAGGAACAGCAAACTATGGTCCATGGGCCAAATTCATCCAGTCACTTGCTTCTAGAAATAAAAGTTTTACTGGAATATAGCCATACTCATTTATGTATTTTCTATGACTGCTTCTGCATTACAACACCAGAGGTGAGTAGTTATAACAATCTGTATAGCCTGCAAAACCTAAAAAGATTTACTTTCTGGACCTTTACAGAAAAATTTTCAAGCTCCTGTATAGTAAGTGAACAAAAATATTTCTAGTGTTTATTTAACAGCCTCTTTATGAAAATAATCATAGTTTGTATTTTGCTGTCAATAAGACCAAACAAATTTTAAGAACAAGCTGATGGGGAAAAGGCAAGAGCATAAAGGTCATTCTTGCTCACCAAAGATGAATTTCTATGCTAAACACTAAAGCTTATAGGATTGTGTTTATAATAAATTGTCTTTCTTATTAAGATAAATGATGTAGGTTGAAGCCAGAAATCTATGATGTCACTATTTAAGATTAGCAAGATGTTCATGCCCAATGATATCCTCCAGTTAAGTAATAATGTACCTAGGCAGATAAGTATTATTTCAGATAAAACTATAGAAGTTATATATAAAAAGTTGGCCTTTGATTAGTCTCTGAGATTACAGGGCTCCAAAGTACATAGAAACTTTTTCAGGAAGATGCTAAAACACAAATCTGTTAAGTGTCAATAAAAATATCACCTATGATTTTCATAACTGAGTACTTAAAACGTAGTTGCAAGGTTACATACAAGGTATGCAATATGTGTTGATAACAAAAACAGAAAAACTGGTATAAATAGAGCTTAGTTAGTTCCATTAGTTTGCAACAATAATATCTAAAACTATCTATGGGGTTATTGTCATGTCAATTATCATTTTTATAATCTTGCAAAGGAAAAGCTGAAACACAAGTAAATTGAGGAGAGAAAAAAAGAAAAAAATTATTTACCCTTGGTTTTGCTAGATCTTTAACAATTTCAATTTCTGCATCAGAAATAATATCATGGAATCGGATAATACGAGGCTTGTCCCATTCATCCTCCTGTTTGGCTGGAGCCAGAATAAATTTAGGATTCCGGTTTCCATCATGGTAGCGACAGAAGAGTTTTTTCTGTCTCCGAGGAGTCTGAACAAAAAGTTTAAAAAATTGTAAATATATTAGAATAATAATTTTTTTAATGCTTGTTCCTATGAAGAAGCAATAATCATGCTGGTGTATAGACAGAGTACTTGAGGAAGAAGGGCAAAAGAAATCGTACTCTGCAAATATTCTGCATCAGACAGGACCTTCAGAATTTTAAAAGTTTTATTAATGATTCTTTTCTGGAAGAGATGGTGAGGTTTCTCTTTAACCCTTCTCTCATCAAAATAAAGTTCAGGCCTTGTAAATATGAAAAAAATAATAAAATGATTATAGAAATACGAAATGAGTGACCAGCCCTGCTCCAAACTTCACCAAGTAACTGGGAAGAACCTAGGAAAGTTTCTCAAAGAAAAAAACCTAACCAGGTTTTCCCAAGTACCTCCCAACTTTTAAAAATTTAAGTGATTTTTTTTTTTAAGATGAAAATCAGTAGCTCTGAAAAAGAGAAAATTTTTATTAAAGAAGCCAGGTGCTTTCAGTAGCAGATATTAAAGTCAGCAAAAATCAACAAATGTACTTTTCAATCACCTATGTATCACATTAACTAAATATGGGGTTGGCCAAAAAGATCTTACCAAAAAAAAAAACACCCCACATGGATGTTTTGGCCAATCCAATGTTATGCCATTGCTGATTCTTCTCTTGATTAAACAAGTATTTCATATTATGAAGTAGAACTAATAATGATTTATGTTTATTCTTGTTCTTTATTTACAAAGAATCAAATCCAAGGTTTTAAATATATCTTTTATATGATGATAAGACCAATTTAACTATTCTGAGAAAAAGGATGCTCCTTTGATTTTGGGCTGAGCTTACATGTGTTTCACATCAACAAACAGGCAAATTAAGAGACTTCTGTTATATACCTACAGTTCTATTTTGCTGTCTTATTTAAGAGTTTCTAAGGGCAGTAAAAAATATCCACTCACTACTGGAAATCTGAATACTGACTAGGTACTTAATGATATTATGGAATTACTAACTACTAACGATACTAGAAATATCATGATAATGGTATTGTGGTCATTTAAATGTTCTTATCTTTAAATGATACACGCTAAAATATTTAGATGTGAAATTTTTTAAAAAATGTTTCGTGAGTCTAATTTGTATTTACTCATTAGATCAAAGCAAAAGTAAACATGTTCTCTGGGAATCCATGAACTTATCAAAAGTGTCAACATAGATAAGATCTACTTATTTGCTGGTAGGGGTTAGGCTGTAAACAGTAAATCACCAAATATCAAGAAGTCATCAATATCAAAACATAAAACCCAGCCTGAGTTTATCAGTAGTAGAGAAAAATTAAACATTATTCAAATGATTTCACTTAAAATTATTCCAAAACTTCACTAAATCCTTCTACATACACCAGCATTCAACTGAACACTAGTACCACATGATACTCCTTTAAAAAGGGTTCTATGAGAAACAAAGTATATCACATTCATAATCATCATAAAAAGGATCTGAAAAGTCCTAAAGCTGAACAAAAAAACCTATGATCCCAAGGCTTGAACTGTATTATTTCTGGCCTATTACCTTTTAGTATTCTGGTAAACTGAGTATAAATATATAATATAGATATACAATAAACAAAGGGATATTTACAGACACATTTTAGTATTTTTAAAAATGTTATAAAGCCAAAATCTATTTAAAGTCTTTATGCATTTTTAATATTTCTTAAAGAGACTAAAACATTACATTAGGCAGTCTTATCAAGGCTGACTAGGGGCAAAACCACAAGATATCACGTATAGATAAATCCATCATTTCATAGGATAAGTTATAATGCTATATTATTTCTACGTAAGACTGTTGAAATCTCTTTTGCATTAAGATATAAGAAAAAACTGTATCACTTCTCTTAAATAATCTGACCCCTCACCTTACAAAGCCTCTTCTAATCTATTAAAAGGGTAATAATTACCAAAAATGCATGTAATGGTATATGAGTCACAAGTTTTATGTTAAAGCTACTTTACTAGAAGTTGGAACACATTAAGTGCAACACCAACAATAAAGTGATGTGACATAATGTAATACTTTAGGAATAAATCTGATTTTTACCACAAAAGTTTAAAAGAATTCTGAATCTCTCCAGAACTATGTACAAACACACATGCACATTCACACACACACAATTGGCTTTTCCACTTTACCATTTTGATACCCTCCCCACGGCACAGCATTTCGTACTTCTGTCTCTCTGGCAGGTAATCCACAGCAGCACCTTTTTTCTTCAGTGTGGTTTTCTGATCAGATTGGTCTTCTGAAGACTTATTGGCATCTTTTTCTTTAGCCATTATATACTCAAAGTATTTTAAGTTACCGTTAGCTCTCTGATGTTCAGGATCTATTACAAAAGAAAGAAAGCATGTCCATGAGTAAGTTTACAATTGTTCAAGCATGAGCGTAAGATACAGTGGAGGAACATGTAATTTACCTTCCAAACCAGGTTGCTTTATGAGAGTGCAAGGAGGCATTAATGAAAATTATTATACCAAAACAACAGGTGTGAATCAGTACTGCCCCAAGCAAATCAAGATGTACAGTTGCCATATATGACGAGAGTTCTGGAGATGGAATCAGCCATCTATTTCAAAGTAGTAACTGTTGCCTTTACTTTGAGAATATTTCATGTGACAAGTTACTTAGCAGCCAAAGGAACTATGACCAATTTGATGTCAAATGAATTTTCAAGTATTACTGATAAAACTTATTTTAAACAAAAGATTTTTCTAAGATTGAAATGTTATGACCATGGGGAAGACAGGGTATACAGTTCAAAGGTAACCTTTACCACAGATAATAATATAAATGCTGAACACAGTCTACTTCTGAGGGCTGAGTGCATTTCAGTCCCAAAATTCTAAGTGAGACAGAAAAGAGAAACTAAAAATATAATTTTCAAATAAGCCAGAATCCACTAACTGCCTTAGAATTGCTAGTCATAACTTTTAGCTATCTTTTAGTAGGGGGAAGGAAGACTACTCCACCCACCTGGGAGGAAAAAAATATAAACCACCACACACACGCACACAAATGAAGCAGACAGACTAGAACACAGAAAGTTCACTTGTGACATTAATTGAAGTGTTCTTAAAAAATCCAGCCTTAGATTTGTAAAATACTTCTTGTCTTTGAGAAACTAATTTTAATATGTTGTGATGTACAGAATATGAGGCTAATTTTGTAAAAGAAATGGAAAAATGGGGGGAGAAGAGGGTATGCTACAAGGAGACAAAAAAAATTAGTAAGTATCTCTGGGTGATTGGTTTATGGTGACTCTTCTGTATCTTTTTCTACTTTTAAAATTTTTTCTAAAATGAATGAAGTATTTTTAAGTCAGGAGGAAAAAAATCACTTAAAATACTGGGGGAAAGGGCTAAATGAATATCTCAATTTATCAATTCATTCAGCTAAGAAATAACCTAATTTCAAAAGCTTATTTCAGATGATCAATCCTTTTGAATTATTTGACTCCTAACATACACATATTTACCTAGTCATAAAAAGAATGTAAGTTTTAAAGCTTCATTATATATCAAAGGCCACACGACTTTTTTTAGCATACAATTCCACCGCCACAGATTCTAAGTTAGTAGGTTTGGGGTGAGATCAAGGAATTTTCATTTCTAATAAGCATCCAAGTAATTCTGATCATTGGCCTTTGGATCATACTTGGAGAAACACTACATCCCTGTTAAAAATACTAGTGGTAAAATATTCGTATCACATTTTCCTAATATTTAAATATGACAATCAAATATATTTTCATTCTATTTATTTCTGTGAAAGAATTTCAATCTCCGATGGAACTGGAAGATATTAAATAGAAAATCTCATGCATGTGCCCTGAGGAACACAAACCTTAAAGACTGAGAGACTGATTTCCCATAAAGGCCTGATTTTCAGAAAACTGATAATACTGGAATTTTCTTAAATTTCAGGGAATTGGTCAGGGGTTGCCTCATATCAATATTGGGAAATTTTGCTTACAGTTTCCAGGGGCATGAATAAGAAATGATCCAGATTGAGATGGTCTTACAAAGTAAGCTAAATCGAGCTTTGTTTGTATGACTGGAGGGTTTTGTCTGCCTAGGGAATGTTCAATGCTGGTCCCCATTTGTTTCTGATTTCAACAAACTCTAACTGAACTCTTGCTTCTTTATATTCCCTGCCCTACTCCAAACCCTTAACGGACTTACCTGTAGCTTCCTACAGCTTGCATGACCCAAATGCAGTTCCTCTGCTATTCCTGAATAAACTCATTTTTTGACAATTATTTTTGCTTCATTTGACCTTTTTATTTAGGTTGATATTTCAAATCACTTTCAAATTTCCAAATAGGAAATTCAGTAAACCAAAAATTTCCTTCAAAGGATACTGGTTAATATTTAATATGGCAACATGGCAAATAAACATTTTTGACTGAGTTAGCTATGTTCGATTCAATTTTGAAGTTCCTAAGAAATACACAGCAGAGAAACACAGCTACTCTTATAGTACTATTAGGTGAGAAAAATCAGTTGCCATTTATTTAGAGGATAAACAGAAAGATAATGTCTGACAGATGAGCTCTTGACTTGTGACAAAAAGTACCAAAACTATATGACAAATATACATACTCACACACAATTATAATTAATATATCTATATATCCCCCAGTATATCTTTAACCTTGAATTAGGCCAAACTAACATACCTAGTTCAAGAAGTTTCTTTGTGAGCAAAAGCGCCTTATCCAGGTCTCCCTGCTGGTATACTGCATAGCTCAAATAATCTAGAACAGAGACTTTATCAATGGTAGAAACCTCGCCTTCATCCAGCTGCCTCAGTGCTTGTTCCATCCACAGTTCTGTATGGTAATAATCTGCTTCTGTGTAGGCCACTTTGCCCAACTCAAAACAGTCCTCAACTGTTAGAAAAGATTTGTCTTTTACTCCTATGGAAAGAAAATACAGAGAACTTTAGGAATCTTAATACTATTATATGTTTATTTAGGACTATACTGCTTTCAAAGTACTATGTCACTCTCATCTGAACCTCACAACAACCTTCTGAGGTAGGAAAAGCAGGAATTACCCTAGATTTATAAACAAAGGAACAAAGTACAAGGTAATGAAACATGGCAAAGATCACACAGCTAATAGGTGACGTGGGACCTAGAGAATCCAAGATTTCAATTATCAGTCATCATACCAAAAAAGATGCACCCATTAAGCACCAATTTCCAACACAGTGGGAATCACCATGTGAGATATATCTAACTCTTAACCAACAACTTAGGATAAAGGGATTCATGGAAGAGAGACAAACCTGTCTATTGACTCCTTCCCCTACCATTCCCCTTTTCAAAAACATTAATGATATGTAATTTACATATCATAATAAAGTTCACCCAGTTAAAGAATTCAATAGTTTTTCACTATATTTGCAGAGCTGTACAACCATTACCATAATATGATTTTAGAACATTTTCATTATCCCAAAAAGAAACACTGTGACCATAAGCAGTCCCTACCCATTATATCTCCCCTTTCCTGCCCTATCCCTAGATACCACTAATCTACTTTCTGTATCTACTTGTCTATTCTGGCTATCGTACATAAATGGAATTGGACAACAGGTAGTCTTTCGTGACTGGACTACTTTACTCAGCATAATGTTTTCAGGTTCTTTTTATTGCCAAATACCAGCCCACTGTAGGACAGACTACATTTTGCTTATCAGTTGATAAGACATTTGAGTTGTTTCCACTTTTCTGACTTTTATGAATAATGTTACTATAAACATTCATGTACAAGTTTTTGTGTGGAAATATTTTTTCATTACTCTTGAGTATATACATAGCAGTGAAATTGCTGGGTCTTATGGCAACACTATGCTTACCATGTTCAGAAACTGCCAAACTGTTTTCCAAAGTGGCTGCACCATTTTACAATTTTACAATCTTGTATGTACGCTCATACATAAAGCAATGTATGAGGGTTCCAATTTCTCTTTCTCACCAATACTTGCTACTGCTCATCTTTTTTATTATAGCCCCTGAGGTTATGAAGTAGCATTTCATTATGGTTTTTAAATTTTATTTCTCTAATGATGATGTTAAATATGTTTCTACATGCCTATTGTCCATCTATATATCATCTTTGGAAAAATGCCTGTTCAAATCCTTTGTCCATTTAAAAACTTGGTTGTCTTTTTACTATTGACTAATTATGTTTCAAATGTTGTACAATCACCATTACTTTTATAAGAATAAGGAAAAGATGAAGAACTACAGAAAGAAATAAATGTAAAAAATATTCTCTGAATGATAGCAACCATATAACATTCCATTTTATAAGCAGTAAATCAGATGAGTTAAGTAGAGACTTTAAGAGCCTGAGTATTTTATGCTGTTCTATGTTTATAGCATGTTAAGTAAGCAATAGAAAATTACATCTGGACCGTATATTCTGGGGGTGGAGTGGGGAAGGGAACTGCTTCTGATATAAAACACAGGTGATCCGTGAACAACAAAGTTTGCATTGCATGGGTCCACTTACATGTGCATTTTTTTCAACAGATGCATGTATGTATTATAAATGTATTTTCTCTTCTTTATGCTTCTCTAAATAACATTTTCTTTTCTCTAGCTTACTGTACTGCAAAAATGTAGCATACAATACATACAACATATGAATTGTGTTAATAAGCAACTGTTTAAAATATCAGTAAGGCTCCTGGTCGACAGTAGGCTATTAGTAGTTAAGTTTAGGGAGAGTGAAAATTTACATGCTGATTATCAACTGCTCAGGAGCTCAGCAGCTGTAACACCAGCATTTTTGAAGGATTAACTCTACCTAGAAATGCTGGATAAAATGTAACAGTTATCCATTTATCCATCTGTATGATGACCAGATTCACAGGAATTAAGCAAATTTTTTGAGGTCAAAACCAAAAAGGAACTTGAAACCTAGAGAGGTAAGTAGAAGATGAAGCTGCATCTCCTCTGGAGGCAGTCGTCAGATGAGAAAACTAGAAGCATGATTTTTAACCATCAAGAAAGGGATAAAGGGATAAAAGAGGGCTTTCCTAATGGCTCAGTGGTAAAGACTCTGCCTGCCAATGTGGGAGACATGGGTTCGATCCCTGGTCCGGGAAGATCCCACATGCCAAGGGACAACTAAGCCCGTACGCCATAACTGAGTCTGTGCTCTAGAGTCTGCGAGCCACAACTACTGAGCCCATGTGCTGCAACTACTGAAGCCCCAATGCTCTAGAGCCTGTGCTCCACAACAGGAGAAACCGCCTCAATGAGAAGCCCGTGCACTGCAACTGGAAAGTAGCCCTGCTTGCCCTAGCTAAAGAAAAGCCTGCACAGAAATGAAGACCCAGCACAGTCAAATAAGTAAATAAATTTTTTAAAAAAGAAAGGGATAGGAGATAAAGCCTCAGGCCCATGCAAAATGACAGAACAGACCTTTGAAAGACTACATCTTTTTTTTTTTTGGAATTAAGCACCGCTTTTATTAGCACAAAACGAAAGACTACATCTTGAATTAAAAAAAGAGCCAGAAAAAACTCCTGTCAGCTGGCAAAGAGAAACAACAAAAGAACTTATTTTTCTCATTCTGCATTGTAGGTAAGGAAACAATCTCTTAAGAATTCCCCGGGCATGCCTTCTGGGAGGTTTCGATTTCCAAATATACGCTATCTCCACGGTCTGGAAAACTAAAGCCAAGAATTTAACTTAAAGTGGTTGGAGGCTGGTAAGGTCAAAAAACAACTGGCAGAAGCAACATTTATACTCTGCAAAATGCACCCTCACCTCAGGTTTTACAATATTCCCACACACAATCTGAAGAAATGCACACAATTCAAAATCACAAAGCACATGATGAAACAAGCCACTATGAGCAAAATCAGCAGAAGCTATTCAAAACCAGTATTAGACATCACGCAATATATTCAGATGTTATCAGATTAAGAATACAAAATATCTATGATTCAAATGTTTAAAGAATTTCTAAAAAAAGAAAATATGAACACGTAAGATACCCTAAAAAGACCAGGAAGATGTGAGTAGGAGGAACAATAGAACTTTCAGAAATTACAAATATTATCAATGAGACAAACATGTATTGCTCAAGTTAAACAGCCAGTTAGACACAACAAAAGAGAGAATAACATACCTAGAAGAGAGAACTGAATAAATTACCATGGGATAAACTACTCAGAACGTAGCAGAGAGGAGGAATACATAAAAAGTGCTAGTTAAAAGGTAAGGAAGAAAAACTAGGAAGACAACAGAATGTGGAAAAGGCACTATTTAAAGAAATAACAGTAAACAATTTTCTCGAATTAGAATGCATGAAACCAAAGATTCAGGAAGCACAGAGAATCCTAAGCCAAAGTACATGCAAGGGATTCTCAAGGATTTGTTTCAACGAGGAGGAGGAAAATAATTCCAAAAGAAAAGTCTGAGGTACCAAAAAAAAAAAAAACTGATAAAGAAATTGGTATATATTTAAAGAAAAGTGAGCTATCAGATTGGCAAAAATTTCAAAGTCTGAAATTTTTTTTGTGATGCTATGGGGAAATAGGCACTCTCATGTATCACTGGTAGAAAAAATGATACAACTACTATGGAGGGAAACTGGAACAATATTAGCAAAATGTCCTATACATCTACTCTGAATCAGTGGCATCATTTCTAGAAAAAATATCCCAAAGATCACTTGGCAAAAAAAAAAATATGCACAAGGTTATTGGCAATATTATTTTTATAATAGTAAAAGACTATAAACAAAACAAGTATCCATATAAACGGGGCCCCAGTTAAATAAACTATAGTAAATTCACAAAATAGAGTAACAGGTAGCTGTAAAAAGAAATGAGGATTTCTACATAGTATATGAGATAATATCTAGAGCATATCAATAAATTAAAATACCAAAATACATAAAGTATACTATGCTGCCTTCTCTGCTGAGGCTGAGAGGAAACAGGAATATATATACACATTTGCCTATATTTTAAAGAAACAGTGGAAATGAAAAACCTAATCAAGTGGTAGTTCATATAGGAAGAAGAAAGCAACAGGCTGGGAAGTACAGAAATGATAATCAGCCTTCTATAAGTGGACCTTATTAATACAAGTTGGACTTTGAATGAATAAAAAAAGTTCTGCATAACTAAAACTAATACAAGAGACATGGTGATGGTGGTCAAAAGGTACAAACTCCCAATTATATGATAAGTCCTGGGATGTAATGTACAGCATGTTAACTATAGTTAATAATACTGTATTGTATATTTAAAGTTGCTGGAAGAGTAGATATATTTTAGAATAAAATTTTTGTAACTATGTGATATGATATGATGGTGCATGTTAACTAAACATATTGCGGTGATCATCTCGCAACACATACATATCCAAGTCATATTGCACACCCAAAACTAACACAAAGTTATATATCAATCACATCTCAGTTTTTAAAAAGTTTATTTGGGCACCTCTTTTAAATAAAAACATTACATTTTTTAATAATAGAAGAGGACAAAGATAGGATATAAATTAAAAACTGAGCCTGTGGGGTTTTCCTGGTGGTCCAGTGGTTAAGGATCCGCCTTGCAATGCAAGGGACACCAGTTCAATGCAAGAGACATTGGTTTGGTCCCTGGTCCAGGAAGATCCCACAAGACGCAGAGCAACTAAGCCCATGCACCACAACTACCGAGCCGATGCTCTAGAGCCTGTGAGCTGCAAATTCTGAGCCCACACCCCGAGAGCCTGTGCTCTGCAACGAGAAGCCACTGCAGTGAGAAGCCTGTGTACCAAACAAAGACGAGGCCCTGCTCACCACAACTAGAGAAAGCCCATGTGCAGCCACAAAGACCCACCACAGCCAAGTAAACAAAGAAATCTAAAAAAAAAAATCCTGTGATAAATTTGCT